GGTATGAAATGTTCCGCGAGCTTGTGTACAAGCACACGTGTGATGGCCCTCGTCTATTCACCAGTTTATTACTCCTCGTTTATCATGCTGTAGAGATTTTGAAATTGCATTTCATTGAAATATATTTCGCACTCGAAGGAGATTTTAATATAAGAGCGTTTTCGTCTAGCCTTTACCCACAAGATGCACGTGTGGATACAATATATTTCTGCCATGAAAAGATAACCGCATCTCGCATCTTATTAAGCATTTCAATATCCTCATCATAGTTCAGGCTCGATGAGTAAATTAACCCATAAACACAGCTCACTGAGTTTCTCGCCAGATCTTTTCAGTGGGTCGCGTTTCCGATCCGGTGGTAGATTCTCCGAAGCACTCCCTTGCTAGGGCCAGGGTTAGCAAAATTTCCGGCTCAAGCCTCGAGTGCTCACCTAAGCGCTAGGACAAAGCTGAACGGCGGGATGGATGTAATGTGCTCTGCGTCAATCCTGTCCAGCCGTCTTAATAGCCCCGACTGGGCTCCGGCCCGGTCTGAGGTAGGGCTCCGGTTGTGAGCGGCAGGAGTTTTTAGTGAGGTTCAACTCCCACATACCCTACCTGCCACGTGGATGGGGATCCGGCGATTTTCTCATGTGGAAAAAAAAGAGCAAAGCTGAAATACATCTGAAGGCTATCAGGACTGGTAGAAAAAAATCATACTTCGATGAAGCGCCGTTTATCAGTACCGCGTTATGGAACACTTACTAACAAAGAAAGAAAACGCCAAGTTCGGGCTGATAAAGTTTTCTCATTAGAGAACATTCGACGATAAGTTGGTTAATTGCAGTATTCGAACTCTTAGCTAAGCCAATCAGAGCATCGTTGTCCGTAACGCGACCTGAATGGGACTCTAATACGGGTAACGTTTGACTTATAGCGCAACTAAATACGGCGCTTTCATACTTAATATTAATAATAATAGCTGGGAACAAATCATGCACTGTTATCCGAGTGCCTTTTTAACGTTCTCGATAGCGTAAAAGTTAACTTCAATTTCGGTAGAGTTGGAACGTTTGCCTACGTTTTCCGCTAGGGTCGCTGTTCCAACTGCACAAAAATTTGAGTTAATTTTTACGCTATCGAGAATGTTAAATTAGGCCCCAAATTAGGGTTCCCTGTGTAACGAGTACCAGAGCCTGACATACATACTTATACACGTTTAAATATATACACAAAAACCCAAACAAGGAACAAACAAATCTGTTCATCACTCGAATGTTTACCGGCACCCTGCCTATTTTTAGCGTGAAGCAGTAATGCGTTTCGGTTTGAGAGGCGGGGCAGCCGCAGTCTCAGTTTTACACTACAAAGTGTAAAACTGAGACTTAGAACTCATGTCTCAAAGTGGGTAACGGCGTTTCCGCTGTTGATGTCTATGGGCTCCGGTAACCACTTAACAACAGATGGGCCGTGAGCTCCTCGACGCATATAGGCAGTTAAAAAAATATACACAAAAAAAACCGTTCCCAAGTAAATTTTCAAATCCAACTTCAGATGACGCGCTTGTTTACAATCACGAATCATTGCATCTGAACATTAAAAAACTAGGCAGCTAACCTCTGTCGACGCAAATAAAACCTTGCTATGTAAAGTTTGCTGGCAAACATACGCGAAAACTCGCCAGCGGCTCAGCCCGTGAGAAATATCCAATTTAGCGGCGTTTGCCCCTCTAAATTGGCGCCATTTTTCATTTACCCACGCCGCCCGGTCGCACAGCAGCGCCGCGGCAAAACGTGAACGTGTATCTTTTCACGACTGTAAATAGACAAACGAAGCTCACAGCTCGTTTTGCTATTAAATGGTTAGCAAAGCTCATGAATGCCAATCAATAAAACATATATTGTTTGATATTAAAAAAAACATACAACTATCAATTTGAAGCATTTTTTTATAATCTAGCAATTCAATTTGGACCACATCAAAATCTCGGAATCCCGTTTACAATTTATTTAACATTCTCTGTGACATTGAAGAAGTGACAATAGATCTGTCACCAGTTGTCAACGTTAGCACGGCTGACAGGAGCAATCAATCAATGTTGCCAACAATCTATCAGTTCAAGGGCAAAGGAAACTGAATATTGATTAAGGAAGGATGCTACTGATTGGTTTAGAGGGAAATTAATTATATTATTGATGGCTTTGATCACGCAGTTAGAAGCATTACTAAGTTATAAAATAAATATTTTTAGACCTTACTGAGACTATACCGTATATTTTCTTCTTATTTTTTTTGATACTACAGTACTTAAAGGTACTATTAAATTTAATTTGTTAATTTTATTTCAGACCTTCTTAATTTTGTTGCCATTGTAACATATATTTTTTACACTATCGAGTCATTAATGTTCCTTTAAATGTATAGTTTCCCATGTACTTTGCTAACGATAAAAAGTATTTCTGTATTATCGATAATACACGCAAAACACATATACCCCAATTAGAGAAGTGGTTAACTGTAAGAGGGAAGGAAGCCAGCAAACGACAGCACCAGTAACATGTACCAGACAAGATGTACTAATGTAAATTTAACCAACCCTTCGACATTCAACAAAAAATGTGGTATTACTTCCCTATATCGATTTTCATTTATTTTATTTCATTGTAATATCGACTTTTAAAAACAATTTTTCGGATCGCTCAGAAGTACTCATATTTAATATTTTAGTAACGAGACATCTTGAAGTATGCCTCACTTTAATTATGCATTACGAAATTATTGAGCGGCCGAATGATGTGGACCGTAACCTTAATTGTATTGAATGTTACTGCGGGCGTCTGGGACTCTGCAAGGTTATATAATACAGAGCTGCATTGAGCGAATATTTAATTCGAAATCAAAATTTAAATTCTAAATTTTAATTTAATTATAAGTTTAAGGTTGCGATTAGTAAAGTACATAGTACTTTTATATTGTATTTAGGTTTTTACATTTTAAAAATCTAGCGTCAAAAATATAATTTTCTGATAAACTACTCAATTTATAGGAATGTATAATAAACAAATAAATATACCAATAAATGTACCACAAATATTTACAAAAAAAAACCATCCTTATTTTTTATCGTGTTGATACTGGTCGGGACATTACAACGGAGTTAGAAAATCATTGTATTCTAATCGTTCTTTAAATGCGTACAAAAAAATTAAAGTTAATCCGAATTGCAAGTTAATTTTGAAGTCGGTGAAAATGGCGTTCAAAGATTCCGCTACATACAAGCAAATACACATATGTACATACCGGGGAACACGTCCTTATGAATTCATCAGATCCAATAACTCTTGCATTAGACGCCTTCAGTTCTAGCACTAGGAGCAGGCTTAGGGACTATGATAATCATACTACCAACCAAAATCCTTAAGCCAGCCCGCTTATTTTCTCGTCGGATCTTCTCAGAGGGTCGCGATTCCGATGCAGTGGTAGATGCATTCGCGAAGCAGCTGCCCTTGAGTTGTTAGATCTCCTCCGAAGCCGCTTGGGCAGCTGTTATCAAATCCCAAACCTTCTGGCTGAGAATTTACTCGACCATCTGCCCTGGTGAAACTAGAAAGGCCAACGGGCCACAAGTAATCCTTCCTTCCTAAAAAAATATACAACAAGCTAATAAAAACGTGTTCACCATTACTTAGTACTTCTCTGTCTTAAGTCAAAATTCGATCGAGTTTATCAGAGGACGTAATAAATGAATACTTCTATATCTCTAGTCTATAATTTCTAAATCAATTATTTAAAACTATAAATCAGCAAATACAAAACAGTGTAATAAGATTTTATCGTGTGTGTCTCAGCCGATACTTTAGTTTAATAGCTTTAGAATCCAGCTTTAGTGTTGCCAATCACAAAAAATTCCAAGAAAAACCGCTATCTACCTTTTTTTTATTGCGTAGGGTGAATGAGTTCACAGACCAGATGTATTTCGTTAGAAAAATATTTTAAGTACATAAAATGAATCTAAATCTTCAGGTGCTAGTGATTATGGTCGAATTTCTATTGCTGGTAAACTAGTAAATAAGTAAGGTTTATTTACCAACAAATAGCTCTAGCTGTTATTTTTATTGATATTTTATCTTGGATGTCGCTTAGAGACTGACATTAACGAATTATGATTAAAATGTTTAACCCATCAACTATTAAAAAATTTAGTGCACAAATCACACACAGTCATCTTACCTTAAACTAGGATTTCCTGTACTATGGGAACCAGATGCTGATATAAATACTTATATATACGTTTAAATTTATACATATTTACATGATAAGCGACCAGACAAAAAGCAAACAATTGTTTATCACAGGAATCTTTTACCTGGAGCCACTGCGTTCATCCACAGTCCGTTTCCAGAGATATTTTTTGCTACGTATCATCCGGCTTTGAGCTCCCCTGTGTGTTTCCCGAGCGCTATGACATATCCTTTTTCAAACGAGGCTTGTGGAGAGTACTTAACGGTAGGCAGCGGCTTGGCTTTGCCCCTGGCATTGCTGAAGTCCACGGGTGATGGTAGCCACTCACCATCAAGTGGACCGTATGCTCGTTTACCTACAAGGGTAATAAAAAAAATCTGCTCGTTATGGGATTCGTAACCACAACCCTCGGCAGAGCAGTACAGAGCGCTGATTACTGCACCACCGAGTCATTTTAAGTCTATTTAATATCTACAAAGCATTTTCTTTTATTGCTTAGATGGGTGGACGAGCTCACAGCCCACCTGGTCTTAAGTGATTACTGGAACCCATAGACATCTACAACGTAAATGCGCCACCCACCTTGAGATATCAGTTCTAAGGTCTCGGTACGGTGACAACGGCTGCCCGACCCTTCAAACCGAAACGCATTACTGCTTCACGGCAGAAGTAGGCAGGGAGGTGTTGCCTACCCGTGCGGACTCACAAGAGGTCCTGCCACCAGTAAAAAATGCATGTCACTAACCGGGTCACGTTTGTTTTTCGGTTCGCTCCAGCAGAAGCACCCACATGTCATCTTCGAAGCGAGAACTAAGGCCAACAAGGGCTGCGCTAACAAACTCGAGTACCGACCGAAGAACAGGAGAACGAAGAACGTGGGCTACCTGGAAGAGCCGCTCGACGACGACCCCACAAGTTTGTAAGTATCCCTGTAATCTCAATACCATCTACTTCTATGCGACTGCTAAGTCTATGTATACCAACTATGAGACGGGTAGTGTTTTTGCAATATATCTTGAAACATACCCTTAATACATTTTTTTTATTGCTTAGATGGGTGGACGAGCACACAGCCCACCTGGTGTTAAGTTGTTACTGGAGCCCATAGACATCTACTACGTAAATGCGCCACCCACCTTGAGATATAAGTTCTAAGGTCTCAGTATAGTTACAACGGCTGCCCCACCCTTCAAACCGAAACGCATTACTGCTTCACGGCAGAAATAGGCAGGGTGGTGGTACCTACCCGTACGGCTTCACAAGAGGTCCTACCACCAGTAAAAGTGGTATAATTCTACCATTTGGTGGAAAAGTCTCTAAAAATATCCTTGGGCCCGCGGTCTGCTCCCAACATCTACAGACCGTCATGTTCCATATGCCAATGTACCCCCTAGACGCAGACACTTCTTATGAGTTTCGGCTCATGCGGAAAAAAAAGCTAAATAGATTGTAAAGATTAAGTAGGCAGAAGAGTATTAGAACACACATACACAGAAGTATATTTATGCCGATGTTGTCTATGATTTCCAAACAAGATCTTATTACGTAGCTTATTCAGTTATTTGTTTCTTAAAAAGATCCAAACACATTTGTTTGCCCTTGTCAATTGTCGGAAGAGCAAATCCTTATGAAAATAAATGTCATCGACAGAAATCTTCTCCGAAATAGTTTATATTATTCAGAACGATAAACACTATTGCTATGTATTATTTTTACATGACAGTCACGTAATAATAACGCTGTGGATTGTAATTCATTTCATAAATATGTCTTCATGCAAGTATTAAATCTAAAATATCTTTACTAGTTATTTTGTTTAAAATTTATTCACGTCAAAATTATTAATCACATCTTAGCAGACGCTGAGCAGTTCTTGAGTACTGTCGAATTGTGTAAATATAAATTTACTTGAGTATTAAGCACTCGTTTCCGCGAAGCGTTTCAGAGATTATACACAATCGAAGCTTTAACCTCATTTTGCTTTCTATTCATCTGCCGTTTAATATAATTTAAGCCCTGGTTTTTATAACTGACATCAAATTAAATTGAAGGCGTAGACTGTCAATTTCAGTTACTTAGTTTGCCTGACACGTCACAAAATAGTGTCCAAATGAAGAGCGTACAAATTGGATTAACGTTTGAAAATATTTCCGTATTTCAAACAATACGGCTCTCTTCAAAATAGAATATCCCAGCAAATTTGTTTCGAAATTTCGATTTGTATGGCTCGCGCTTGGTACGCATTCAAATACAAAACTGAATAAAGAGAGTTATTGTTGTAAATTGAATACAACTGAAACGAAATATTGAATATGTATAGTAAGCTACAAGCTTAAAAAAAAACACGTGTGGCACGCGGGGACTGCCGCGGCAAAGCTATGGCATAGCATTTTTTATCAACTTATGCTATTATAATTAGACAATAATAATTTAATATTAAAACAATAATAAAATAAGACCACGCTATATTTATAAACGTTACCAAAAGCAAAACATTAACTGTCCCCTTCACACTCATAATCTAGACCGCGCGAGAGAGAGAGATGGGCAGACTTTTGCGCATGCAGTGCGAAGTCACGCCGCGTACTTATTCGCAAACACTACACAAGCGCAACGTGTGAATGTGTTGAACGCGAGCTACATGGTAGGCGGAGTGGGTGTGTTAGGTTTTATTTTCGTTACGGAATTTCTTGATTCGGTCGCTGCGCTCAAAGCCCGCGATAAAAGCTATGCAATACCTTAAAAACTAGTTTCTAGTGTAATTTTGTTAGTCGGGTCGTCGACCTAAAGCTTTGTTATTCGTATAACTTTACATCGACTTTATCTCGGTTATTTTTCTTGGCTATGTCGTTCCATGTTTATGCCCTATCCGTATTATTTTTATTGTTATTAATACAATGAGAGATAAACAAACTTGGTATTGTTACTATAGTCAATTTGTCACTAACAGACTGCTTTCTAACTTTGCTAACATTGAAAGTTACGTATTCGTAATTCAGTCTCAAAACCTTTATAAAAAACGAAAGCTACACGGGCGGTAAGACTTATTGCTATTGAATATTTTGCACCACAAAGAATTCGGAGAAGCAGATTGTATTAGGTTTTTTTTTTGTTTTTTTTTTCTTAGATGGGTGGACGAGCTCACAGACCACCTGATGTTAAGTGGTTACTGGAGCCCATAGACATCTACAACGTAAATGCGCCACCCATCTTGAGATATAGGTTCTAAGGTCTCACTATAGTTACAACGGCTACCCCACCCTTCAAACCGAAACGCATTACTGCTTCACGGCAGAAATAGGCAGGGTGGTGGTACCTCCCTGCGCGGACTCACAAGGTGTCCTACCACCAGGAAAAATAAATATTTCTGTTTGAGTTAACTAATTTTGTAAACATATTGATTTATAGATATATATTTTATGTATACACTTAGCAACGACGTCCTCACGATCCTTCTAACGCATTCACAGAAGGATAAAGGCACCACGTACGGTAGGTAGTGGTGATTCTGTCCCAGGCATTTCTGAAGTCCGGTAACCGCTCACCATTAGGTGGGCCATATGCTCATTTGCCTACAAGGGCAATAAACAAAATCTAATTTCAGCCTCGAAGTCAAATTTGAGATACTACAAGTTAATTGTCAGGCAAAGGTCAAATTCGCCGTTTGCGAGTCGTAAATTATTCGGTCTGCACCATTTGTTGGCGCCGACTGATGAAAGGAGGTCCTTAATATTCGGAACCCGATCCTCTGGGACTACGAACTTTTATATCTCCATCGCATTTCATGAAACGAGTTAGCCAAAACCAGGCTTTCAATGGAGCTTTGTTTTAATGATACAAAAAAGAAACTTGTATAGGTATTGAATAGTGTAGATATGTGGTGGATAAGTACTTTATAAAAAAAAATACATTTTTTTTTAAGTTAACAGTTTGCATTGAAAATTCCTTGCAATGAGGATTTGTTCTCGAAATCTCGGTTTCACTTTGATCCCACATTTGAAGCCAACTCTAAACTATTGATGTCCACCTGGTTGACAGCTCTGCAATAACCTATTTCTCTGACGTCGACTCTTTTGAGAACAGCAAGCATTGGATTGAGAAAGTGGGACAGTTTTTTTTTTTTCTCTACCTATGCTGATAGCCTTGAGAGGCTATTTCAGCTTCTCCTTGACGTGTAGGTGAGCTCACGAGGCTCAAACCGGGTGTGTTGCTTATACTAGCCCTAGCAAGAGCAGTGCTTCGCTGAATCTACCACCGGATCGGAAACGCGACCCACTGAGAAGATCCGGCGAGAAACTCAGTGGGCTGTGTCTATGGGTTAATTTACTAGAAATTAATAGAATGCTTAGATAGCAGGAGTCGACATAGCAATGTGCGTCCATTCTAATAAATAGTCCGATTATTACCACGTAAGATCCTACCCTACCTAAGTATATCCATTTTCTGGCCTTCCAAAAAGTGCTCTTAATGTTTTTCTCAACAATCTACAGCTACCACAGTCAAAGAGGTTTAGTAGGAACAACAATAAATTTCCCAAACAACAATCCCAAGCATCGGCATATATCATCCACTAATTGAGAACATCAATCCTTGAGCACTCTGTTTGCCTTATCTCAAAGAAATAACGCTCTATTTGAGGCAGTATTTCTGAGGAATACTCTTAAATCTTGAATAATCTTTTCAATTTTATGATTTTACATAAAGTATGTTTTAAAGATAGGTCGTGTCGTGAACTCACACTGATGCGCCACCGTTTGAAGAGTGGGACAGTGGTAATACTGTCCAAGACCAGAACTTATGCCTCAAAATGTTTAGTAGCATCTACTACATATACATTTGTATACTTGTCAACGTTATAGCAAACGTGTTGAGCATATAATAGGCAAAGAAGACCTCAACATCATTAAGTGTCCTACAGTGATCATTCTAACAAATACCGCATTCATTCAGCGGGCTTATGTGACTTTTGACCAGTTCTATAGTTACCGTACTCACGTGTAGAAGATTGCGCAAAGTGGGAATGAGTTGCTCGCTCTGGGCATTTCAATATTATAAAATTGTTATGTTATAATCACTTATTGTAAAAATTAATATTAAAAAAAAATCTAATATTAAAAAAAATATCTAATATTAAAAAAAAAAAAAGACATGCCCGCTGAGTTTCTTGCCAATTCTTCTCAGGACGGAGGCTAATTCTTGTGAATTGGCGGTAGTTCTTTTGACGTTCAACAAGTATGTACTTTCATTTATGTTGAATAAAACTTTTTTGATTTTGATTTTGATTTTGTACTATGTTGGCAACTAAAACTGCGATTCTGGTGTGGTACCCTGTTCTTATAAGATAACAATCAATAGGAAAACATGATTATGACTTAAGAAATTGCTTAAATTGTTAAATATCTTCCACAGATTAGCACCAGGTCGTCTGAACCAAGAACGCAATTGGCGCTGGTTGTGGAGCGGGGGAGTCAAGGGTTTAATCGAACGGCTCCGCAGAGACGTCAGGGAGACAACGAAATATATAGAAACAGCCCTGGTGATAGACAAGGCCATGTTCGACAGGAGAAACGGAAGCACTAGAGCTGAAGTGGTTCATGATGCGATACAAGTCGCCAATATTGCCGATCTGGTGAGTTACTTTGCCCATACCATCAGCAATGTATAATATATTATTTAATCAATTTTGTTACTTTTTTCGTTTGATTTTATTTTATTTCTTAGAAAAATACGACTGGTCATTTGCCTTAATTAATGTATAGAACACGAATGTATGTCCTCACTGTTATCCTGCTGAAAATCAACGCAACAGTCGTCTAAGTTGAAGTATACAGTATAAAATGGACATTGTGGAAGGAGGCCCTTGTGCTGCAAAGAAACCAAGTTGTCAGCAAAATAGATACTTAAAGCACGCTGTAATACCGCTCGTCCAACTTCCTGTCCAATTTGCTACGAAGCAAGAAACCCTAAGACCAATGGCAATTAACAAAAGTATTTATGCAAAATTCTGATTCCTACCTGAAACCGAGTGTCAGAACCAATAAAAAATCTACGATCGGCAGCCACGATCATCGTTCCAAAAACTAAAAGATCGTGCTTTATAAAAGCATTTTCGTTGCCAAAAATTTTATGAGCCCAAGATATATTACTAGTTGTTATATAAGAGCTCTGTTACCCAACTCCCAAGATCACCAGATCAGCTCAAGCAATATCATACTGTTTTTATCAAAAACACAGTTTGCTGAATTTCAGTTGCACTTAAAACGAGCGAAGCCACTATGCCGGTTTTCAAATCCCGCAAACAAGTCCCTATTTTTTACTCAACACGTGTATACTGACTGACTTCTATCTTAACGAGTTTCCTAGGTTCATATTCTTAATCCGATATTGTATTTTAATAGTGTACACAAAGAATTTCGTGTAATATCTATGTAATGGCTAAACAGATACCTGTGAACTAATCAATTGGCTAGGTCTTTTATTTTTTTACACACCCATGCTTAACCATAATAAACATAATGCTTTTCTATAACTTTTTGCGACCATATCATTAGAATAATGTTTTTATATATTATAAATCATATACTATTCCATGAAAAAAGGAATGAAATAAAATAGATGAGAATGAGATAAAATGACCTCACAGTAAAATGGTGGGAATTAACTGACAATACAGTGAGCGTTTTGGAAGAACACTTTTATTTCATTTTCCCAGACTTGTGCGCTTTCACAGAAGCTAAACGGTTAATAAGCCACAATTATTACATTGTTAAACCTTAAGAAACACGAAATGAACACAATAAAACAATTCACACAACTTCACACCTCGCTTTCCCGACAAAAAGTCCGCAGTGCTTCCAAGCGTGCATACCTACTACGCGCCTGTTAATTTAATTTAAGCTATATTACTTACATGTGAGTGCGCGGGGGTAGGTACCACCGCCCTGCTTATTTCTGCCGTGAAGCAGTAATGTGTTTCGGTTTGAAGGGTGGGGCAGCCGTTGTAACTATACTTGAGACCTTAGAACTTATATCTCAAGGTGGGCCGCGCATTTACGTCGTAGATGTCTATGGGCTCCAGTAACCACTTAACACCAGGCGGGCTGTGAGCTCTTCCACCCATCTAGCAATAAAAAATAAATAAGTAAAACTTGCAAAAATATTCATCATGAAAATTTTCAAACATGATTTTGGTATTTTCTGAAACCAGCACACCATTTATATGTAACATTTACACAAATAGAAGTACTTTAAATCCACACAGCCACGGTCCGTGTAACTGCGAGAGGCAAGTGATTATGCGACAAAATACCGGATGTCAGTCGCGCCCGTATTACCACAGTGACGGCTGTAACAATTTGATCTTGCCCCCATTAGAGGCAGGGCCAAAACCCGGCCTGCGTGTCATTGACGATAAAAGAACCTTAGTTCTAACATTAGGACAAGTGCTTAGAACAATATATGGACTTCTAATGTCGTTAAAACTTGAAGAACAGTCGAATTAAGTACAAAGAAACATCTTGTTAATGGACGTTTGAATTCCAATCCCATTCTATGAACAAGAGATAAAGATATTTTAATCTTTATTGCTCTAGATTTGTTATTTGGAGTACTTGTGGTAATAGACGCCTACCATCTCGAAATATAAGTTCAAAGTCTCAACTGTATTGTGGGATTTCTTAGCATCGCAGCAATGCGGAATAATGTAACCCATTAGGAAATACTCCGCTCTTAACGCTTAGCACTGAAGATCGACGTTGAGACGGAAGAGATCCACACCGTGCTAAAAACCTCGCCTGACCTGCGTTGTCTCATCCTCAAGTTGATGAATAAGATGTTCTGTGTATGACAGACACAGAACATCTAGTGCAGATAACCTATTCAATAAAATCATGCTCTGGTTAGTTGGACCAATGTACTCGACCAGCTGCCCCAAAAAGCACCGGAAATGCCTTTTTTATTGTTTAAATGGATTGTCGAGCTCACGGCCCGCCTGGTGTTAAGTGGTTACTGGAGCCCATAGACATCTACAACGTAAATGCCACCATTCACCTTGAAGTATGAGTTCTAACAGCGCAACGACCGCCCCACCCTTCAAACCGAAACGCATTTCTGCTTCGCGGCAAAAATAGGCAGCGTGGTTGTACCTACCCGTGCGGACTCACACGACATCCTACCGCCAGTAATTACGCAAATTATAATTTTGCGGGTTTTGATTTTTATTACACGATGCTATTCCTTCACCGTGAACGTCAAACGTTAAGTGCGTATTTCATGAGGCAACAAAAGTGGAGTGACTGCTGAACTTTACAAACATTCCTGTTGTGCTCTATGTTTTGTTACCGACAAATGTCCGTCAGCAATTCATTAAAAACTTTACGTGTAAGCTAAAGCGTATCTTACGTATACATTCGACACATAAAATATTCGTCTGGCAGTTACAGTAGTAAGTACGTGAAACTTACGCGAGGCGAACTTTCACAGATAGTTTGGTTCATCGCAGATAACTCGGCGAGTTAATGTAGACTCCTACTTTGAATTTACATGTACCTGAAACTTGTTACTAGAGATAATAAACAGGGAATCGAGATATCACAACTGTTAGAATATAATGTCCAATAACATAACTAAAATAACATTTTAAGAGAAAACAAAAGCACTAATATGTTAATTAATCGTAATGAATTCAGTATTATTCAGTATTATTTGAACCATACCTTGGAGTTTTGTAATTTGGGGCAAACATAACTGGCAGATTTTTTACTATCATAGAAAAAAACTGCTAAAATGATTACAACCCATTTTTGATTAGCTGTATGTAGATGTACCGTGTCTAGGACATATAAGGTAGCTCAGAAGCACAGCGAAGTCTGAAGCGGCCGTATAAGGCTCTCGGTGCAGTCGTATTAAAAAAAGACAAGGGAACAGCAAAGGGTCATGTGTCTCATGAAAAATAAAGCAGTAGAATAGAATGTAAAAATAAAAATTAAAGCTTTGCCTATTTCTACCGCGAACTCAGAAAGGCCAAGAGAGAGTAAGAGAGAAGACAAAATTGAGAATTTCTGTACGCTTCTATCACTTAAGCAAAATTCGCCACAATAGCCAATCAATGATGCGTCTATGGGCTCCAGTAACCACTTAACACCAGGTGGGCTGTGAGCTTGTCCACCCATCTAAGCAATATAAAAAAAAATGCGTTCGGTTTGAAGGGTGGGGCAGCCATTGTACTGTAAATACTGAGACCTTAGAACTCATATCTCAAGGTGGGTGGCGGCTTTTACTTTGTAGATGTTTATGGGCTCCGGTAACCACTTAACATCAAGTAGGCCGTGAGCTCGTCCACCTACCCAAGCAATAAAAAAAAACACGTGTGGCACCCGGGTACTGCCTGCCGTAAAGCTATGGCATAGCATTTTTTATCAACTCATGCAATTATAATTAGACAATAAAAATTTAATATTAAATCAGTAACAAAATAAGACCACGCTATATTTATAAACATTAACAAAAGCAAAACATTCGGTAAACTGCAAGCAAACTGTCCCCTTCACACTCATAAGCTAGCTAGACCGTGCGATAGAAAGATGGGCAGACTTTTCATGATGCGCATGCAGTGCGACGTCACGCCGCGCGCTTATTGACAAACACTACACAAGCGCAACGTGTGAATGTGTTGAACGCGAGCTACATGGTAGGCGGAGTGGAGGTGTTAGGTTTTATTTTCGTTACGGAATATCTTGATTCGGTCGCCGCGCTCAAAGCCCGCGATAAAACCTATGCAATAGTTTAAAAAAAAATCGTCTCTTATTTCAATTACTTTCTTCCACAGTATTTCCGTACGCTGAATACTAGGGTCTCACTGGTGTACATCGAGTCGTGGCAGGGTGCTGACCAAGCCGCCATCGACAGGAAGGCGGACATCACGAGAGCCATCCACACCTTCAGCGACTACGCGGCGAGAAAACTATTCAAAATCGAAAAGGACACGACACAACTTCTGACGTAAGATCATGCCTTACTATGCATAGCTCAGTCATAAGTTTCTCAGAACATCACTATATAGTATAAAACAAAGTCGCTTTCTCAGTCCCTATATCTGCCTGTCCCTAAGTATGCTTAAATCTTTAAAACTACGCAACGGATTTTGATGCGGTTTTTTTCAATAGATAAAGTGATTGAAGAGGAAGGTTTGTATGTATAATAACATCCATTAAATAGTGGAGAAATCAATAATAAATTACAGTTTCCAAAGCGAAGCGAGGGCGGGTCGCTAGTATAATTATATCGTGGAGTCGCAAAATATAGAGAGATTGTTTTCCAAATTCTTGGGGCGTTGACCTCGAGCGTGAGCTGAATTTTAATTGTATTACATTGCGTGTCAGATGTCTGCAGTATTTCGGAATCAAGAAATATTGCTTTAACTCAATATCTTTTACTAGTGGTAGGACCTCTTCTGAGTCCGCGCGGTTAGGTACCGCCACCCTGCCTATTTCTGCCGTTAAGCAGTCATGCGGTTTGAAGGGTGGGGCAGCCGCTGTAACTATACTTGAGACCTTAGAACTTATATCTCAAGGTGGGTGGCGCATATACGTCGTAGATGTCTATGGGCTCCAGTAACCACTTAACACCAGGTGGGCTGTGAGCTCGTCCAACCATTTTATTCCACTCATTCGTCAATACTTTTTGTTGTTATGTAAATGTAGCCTTCGGAATTTTTGCACTATAAACTTTGGAAACAAATATTTTTTTACCATCTTTACAAGAATATACAATAACAAAGAAAGTTGAATGTGTGAAAGTCAAGTTCAAGTCTGCCTTGAAGTGTCAATAACTATAATCGAATTTCGACCACAGAACGAAATCTAGTAGAAAAAAAAATCGATTTTATTATGTATGCATGTATCATATAATATCTTATGGATATATCTGTTACTATCATAGTCATAATTCCACGCGAGCACGATATAATATTCAAAGCATTTCAATTATGACGTTGGATTCGTAAATCGAACGCAGCAACAGAACTAAATCGGCACGAGAGACGTTCCCGCAACGAATTTCAAGCGCTAATCAGCTTACAGCCCTTTTCTGAACAAGCAGATCGCCGACGAGCTGCGCTCGAATTAATCCAAGCGAAACGAGCGAATTAATTCGAGTAATGAACGAGGGTGCTTAAAGCGAAAACGCTGAATTTGAAATTGTCCATTTCGAATGCTTCGCGGACAACAAGTTTGAAATTAACGGATACGTTTTCACCTATACTTTGGCTTTGTTCTTGCCATGAAGCTAGTCCACTGAGTTTCTCGCCGGATCTTCATAGTGGGTCGCGTTTCCGATCCGGTGGTAGATTCTGCGAAGCACTACTCTTGCTCTTCTTCTTTTTTCTCCACCTTATCCCACTATGTGGGGTCGGCACAGCTAATTTTTCTCTTCCATTCTCTTCTATCAGCCGTCATCTCAACACTCACTCCTCTCTCTCTCATATCGTCATTCACACACTCCATCCATGTCTTCTTCGGTCGACCTCTTCTCTCTTGCTAGGGCCAGTTTTAGCAACACCTCCGGTTTGAGCCCCGAGAGCTCACCTACACGCTAGGGTAACGCTGATATAGCCCCTCAAGGACAAGCACAAGGACAAGTAGGAAAAAAGTCGTTTGGTATTCGGATTATTAAATGCGCTTCTTGTTCTTGCTTCATATTTGTTTTTGGCACCTACATATAAAAACGCCTAATCAAAACAAGAACCCTTTTTTTTCATCTACAATAACTAATTCAGACATGCGGTTCGCTATTAGCAAGGGCTTCGTTAAATAAATGTAATCAGGCGAATGTGCGGTAAAAAAAATCGGTAAAAATGAAATTTTCGATTTGGTATGTACATAACTCGGTTACCATAGCAACGGTAACGACAAAGACGTTTGTTTAAATTTACAATAATCTTAACAAAAATGTACATAAATCGGACGGATGGTTTCGGTGATCGCTTGACGAATGAACGATATACATAATGTAGTAATTTATTTATTTAGAAGATAATTAAGATTTTCTTCCCATGCTTTTGGGTCGGAGAAACATTAACGGTGTCCATCCAGTAATAGTAAGCATCGGGTAGGCGTCGTTTGCCCATCGGCAGAAAAAAAACTCGTTTGACGCTTAAAGTTTGAAGTTTGACTTTTGACGTTTTACGTTTGACGTTGACGTATGTGTATTTCATTGAGCCAGGCGTCAATTTAGAAATCCAATAAATTGATCAACAATATAATAAATGCGAAGCGCTCTTGTTCCGCACCCACACCCTCGTGAACGCAGAATCGATTCCACGTAAATTCTATCGGCCGATTACCGTTCTAATCCAACGAATTATATCTTAAAAGCTTCCGTGACTTGATGGTCCTACAATTTCGGATCTTGACGTGAATTACGCGATATACTTCTCTAGGCTGAAATTATATTTGAGTTCAAAATGGGGTAGCTCTTTAAGAATATTCAATGTTCAATGAACTCTGTATTTTTATTGACGCTATGTTCTTAAGTCTATAAATAACTGAAAAATAAAATTGAGTACCAAACATTTTTTATTGGACACAGATATATGTGGTGGGTAGCCATCAGAAAAGATATTTGACAGATGCCTGAATATCGCTTACGACATTTTCAGGATATGTTTGCAAGTTCAAAACATTCGGACTGTCAGTCTACTGAGAAATTTCACCCGCTCAGTGGAAGATCTTCCCTTTGTCATTGAACCCTCCAAATATATACAACAATAGTGGTAGGTGCTCCAAAAAGCCAGGGCATACCCTCCTCATCGTTTTTTTTATGATTGAAGTATTACTGGTGGCCCAGAGGCCTTTCCAGTTTCACCGGGACAGGTGGGCAAGCAAGGCTCAGCCAGGAGGGGTGGGATTTGCTAACAGCTACCCGAGCGCCTCCGAAGGGGACCTAACAACTCAAGAGTAGCTGCTTCGCGAATGAATCTACTACCGAATCGGAATCGCGATCCGCTGAGAAGATCCGGCGAGAAACTCAGCGGGCTGATGCATGGGTTAGGTTGCACGTCGACCTCTTTGTCGAGTTCGACGAGTACGCTTACCGGGATCGCTAAACCTGTTCCTAGTGTTCGAACTGAAGGTATCTAATGCAAGAGTTATTCGATCTGATGGATCCGTAAGGACTTGTCATCATTTATACTGATGACAGCACCTGCACAATTTCGAATCGAAAGGCGAAGCGGTAGGCAGCGGCTTGGCTCTGCCCCTGGCATTGCTGAAGTCCATGGGCGACGGTAACCACTCACCATCAGGTGGGCCGTATGCTCGTCTGCCTACAAGGGCAATAAAAAAAAAAAAAAGAATCACAAACATTTTTGAAAACCGCCAAGCTAACCACAATCGAATGATCTGACTGAGAATTCACGGCACATCACTAATGTCTTACAATGCGATTCGCTTATTTTCCGTATCTGTTTGAATGATTGATGTGAGAATTCGGTATTGACGTAGAGTGAAATCGGTATCTATTCCTTGGAGATGTTCAGAACTCCATTATGGAAGCGGTGTACTTTTGTGTATCTAGGGGAGCACGTATCTATGTCTACGGAGGTTTTTCGATCGCTCCTAATTTTTTTGTTTCGATCTCACCTACTTTTTTAATAATAATAATAAAATCATTTAATGCGCTTCATACAGATTTTGATTAATACAAGTTGACAAATAAAAGAAAAAGAAAAAAGGCAATTAAATTATATTTATTATTTTTATTTGTTTACTAGCTGACCCGGCAGACTTCGTAATGTCTCAATCGATAAATAAAAGACCTAAGCTTTTGTATAAAATAAACTTTAAACAAAAGGACTCCGTCCGACTTGGGACATATGAAAGGAAAAACAAAATTGTTATTGTTATTTAATTCCGAGCATTTTCTTATTTATCTACCGTTTAAATCTTCTCTGGGCTTCCACAAATAATTAAAGACCAAAATTAGCCAAATCGGTCCAGCCGTTCTCGAGTTTTAGCGAGACTAACGAACAGCAATTTCATTTTTATTATTCATTATTGTGGGAATGATGTTTTATTGAACGCATGATATGATGGATGCAAGTTGATGTTTGTGAACGCAGTGGTATATCGAGAATGGAAGGGGATGACGTGTGAGATGACAGAATGACAGATGGATGAACGACGACGAACGAAGCACGAGCACGACGGAACGATTAAAATTTATATGAATAGTATTGAAATAAAACGTGGAAGTAGTAAACGCGAAACTTTTATTAATTGTCTGAAGGCTGCATCCCACATTTTGGGGGCTTCGTCCGGGATCGGCCAAAAGAAAAGGCAAGTAATAATAATTGTTTCGACGCCATTACGAGAAACAAACAACGCGTCAATTGTACGAATATACACACGACGTATTTAAATCTTCATTGTGTACGACGATCACAAAAGATTGATACACGAGGATGGCAAGACGACGATCAAAAAGCCNGGTAACTCTGAGGACAGACTTACGTGCAGGACGGCCGAATGTGGGAATGATGTTTTATTGAACGCATGATATGATGGATGCAAGTTGATGTTTGTGAACGCAGTGGTATATCGAGAATGGAAGGGGATGACGTGTGAGATGACAGAATGACAGATGGATGAACGACGACGAACGAAGCACGAGCACGACGGAACGATTAAAATTTATATGAATAGTATTGAAATAAAACGTGGAAGTAGTAAACGCGAAACTTTTATTAATTGTCTGAAGGCTGCATCCCACATTATTATTCATTTTTATATATATAGATTATGGCTTATAAATTAAATTCCGATTAAAATCTACAAATCGGACGGCGCGCTAATGAAACTCAGTCATAACGTTAAACATATAAAGCACAAAATTCGTTTATCTTAAAATCTCAATTTAGTTACGTTAAAATCGATAATAAATCAAGCGATCCACTCTTAGATAAACGGCCGGACCGACCAACAGAGGCAAGTTAAACAGGCCTCCGTAATGTAATCAATTCGGCAAATCGAATATATAGGCGGTAACCCCTTAGCTCGAGGCGTCGGTAAACATTCGAATTTTATGTAATTCGAACTTTACTTGAACCTGAATAAGCATTACTAACTAGTAATTAAATTTTAGTGGCTCTAGGAGGATATAATAATATGTACAAGACTTACTTGGATGTAAACGATAGGTACTTAATATTTCAAAGTTGGCTGTAGTATAATCAAAATGATATCCGAATATGAAATGTGACAGTAAATTTCTTTTTTTTTTTTGACTTATATCATTTCTGCTTTGCCGGTGTCTATCGACAACCGCATTTACGATAAGAAGTAAAATGCCGCCACCCACCTTGAGATATGAATTCTAAGATCTCAGTATAGTTACAACGGCTGCTCTACCCTTCAAACCGAAACGCATTACTGCTCCACGGCAGAAACAGGCAGAGTGGTGAAACCTACCCGCGCGGACTCACAAGAGGTCCTATCGCCAGTATATTAACTCATTATAACTGTATTAACCACCAGTAGTATTAATTCTTTATAACTATTCCTACACTAAATTACACCAAGTTTACTGAGAAGCCGAAAATATGTCATACATAACTAGCTTTTTTTTTACAATTACAAATTATTATGATCAAACCGAATCGCATAATAAAAAAGCACAAAACGTTTAATTAAAAATTATGTATTTTTCGTTCAAACGGAACTAATTTCGTATGTTTTTTATTAAACGACTAGCTGACCCGGCAGACTTCGTAGTGCCTCAATCGATAAATAAAAGACCTAAACTTTTGTATAAAATAAACTTAAAACAAACAAAAGGAATCCGTCCGACGGGGGACACATCAAAGGAAAAACAAAATTCTTATTTTTATTTAATTCCGAGCATTTTCATATTTATCTACCTTTTAAACCTTCCCTGGACATCCACAAATAATTCAAAACCAAAATTAGCCAAATAGGTCCAACCGTTCTTGAGTTTTAGCGAGACTAACGAACAGCAATTCATTTTTATATATATAGAAGATAGATTTGCAATTAGGCTTTTCTTAGAATTAACTGAGAGATACTCTTGTCCCTAAAAAAAAAACATCACCCGCTTTTCTATTAAAAATCCAATTTAAACCTTAACTAAACGTATTTACGACCATAATCTATGTCACTCTCCAAAATGCCCAACAAAATACAGCTTCAATAAAACCCTGAATTACCCCGAGCTAATCTTAAACTCATAACAACTAACCCCTAACAATTAACTCATTTATAGATGCATTAACTTTTGCCTCCTTTTAATAATAACGTCATGCATTATTTACCTTCCGGGGGCGGTTCGCGTGTGGTTTTAATCTATTTTACGACAGGGTAAGATGGTCTTAAAAGCCCGCATATCATATTTTATGGTGAAAGAAGGGTTAATTGTTTGCGCTGCTCACGAACATAGCTCACGCTGTAATTATTAATTAAAAGTACTTTTTTTTTATTGCTTAGTTGGTTGGACGAGCTCACAGCCCACCTGGTGTTAAGTGGTTACTGGAGTCCATAGACATCTACAACGTAAATGCGCCACCCACCTTGAGATATGAGTTCTAAAGTCTCAGTATAGTTACAACGGCTGCCCCACCCTTCAAACCGAAACGCATTACTGCTTCACGGCAGAAATAGGCAGGGCGCTGGTACCTATCCGCGCGGACTCACAAGTGGTCCTACCACCAGTAAAATTACTTATATAATTTGAATTAATAAAGAGATATTGTTTAATTAGAACGTACGCTACGTAAGCGCGACAAATCAATATGTATTAGTTTTGTTTCATACTGTTTCTTTTACACAAACCAAGAAAAGCGTTCAAATTGATTAAAATGTGATTTAAATGATCAATTTGTAAAGACCTTCAGATGTTATAAATACAAAATTGACAAAATTACTCAAAGATCGCTTAATTATCACGAAATCTTATAAATACAATTTGTATCTATCGAACGTTGTCGGGAGATGCTTAATCAAGGCGTTTTATTTAGATTGAAAGAAGACGTATCTAATTAAATTTCATCATTGAAGTTGTACTAATTTTAGTGTCGACTGTTAATTGAATTCGGAACACAGTAAGTACATAGACGAATTAGTAGAATTTTCGAAATGAAGGTCTATTGAATTCTAAATATTTTATAATGGCTATTCATTTCGGAAAACCTAAAAAGAAAACATTGCGAATGAAAAATATTTTCCAATTGTTTTTTCATTGTACCTGTCTAAGCAATACAAACACAATTAAAACATCATCGCATTGGTGGGCTCACGGTCACATTCGCGTTTGTGACGCGAGACATATGAATTCACGTAATACAAAATTACGGGTTTGCAAATTTCAACGGCCGTCTGGTGTAGTGGTAAGTGACATGGCCACAAGGGGGTCGCGGTTTCGAATCCCGCCAAGGGAAGATATTTGTATGATAAATATAAATGTCTTTTCCAGGGTTATGGATGTATAATAAATATATGTATGTGTATAATAAAAATCTTACATTTATTTCCGATATCTGGTACCTGTAACACAAGTTCTTTACGTACTTATCACGGGACCAGTTAACGTGGCGTGATTGCTAGTAAATATTTATCAATTATATTTATTAAAAAAATAAAATCGTTACTCGCTTAAATTAAGATTGATTATTCGATTATTTACTTCAGGAATATAATATGTTTTTTCTAACCCACTATAAACTATCCGACTAAACTGGATTCATACAACATATCGATGTTGTTGAAATTACAACATACTTTGTACGAAGGCCTTTCTAGTATAAGTATTAGTAGAACATAGTAGGTAAATAGAGGCTCGTTTACTTCAACGCCGTGGCTAAATTCCTGCAAGAACTGTTTGGAAAAGAGGTTCTTATGAACACTACACGAGAAACTTTTAAGGATCGAAACCAATTCACTAAACCTCAAACTCGCTTTTTGAACTATATTTAATGTATTAATCACGCAACTTGATACTGCTACTTAGCCCTTAAAGAAGATTGCGACAAGATCGACGCTAACCCTTAATCTAGCGTACAGTTCCAAAATCGGTTCCTGTCACACTTCTGCTGATCTTGGATCGACTTAGGATAGATATCTGAGGAAGGTTTAAATCAAAGGACATAGTGAAGATGATATTAATAGGAATTTATTTATTTAAGGATTACCGACAGGGTTTACAGTAAGACATAAAATAACATTGACATGTATAGAGCAATTGATAACTGCAACTCTAATTATAGGCAATCACAGCATGCATTACATTAATATATTAATAGAGATTTAACAATACTATAAATAATAATAAAAAATCAAAAACAAAAGAAAGACAACAAGGACAGTAATACCCGAGTACTCAGACCAAGGCTGAGGCTGAGGTTCAACAACAACTTTTTATAATTTTGCTCTTAAATATTGGAAGGGAATCGCCAAATATGTTAAGGTTTTCAACTTTTCTAACAAGATTATTATAAAGGTTAGTTAGACGAGGAGTAGGTGAGTGCTTGCCTAGATTGGTTCTGCTAAAGCGGGTGCTGAAAAAGCAACGGGGCGACGAGGTAACCTAGATGGCACCTTCAAAGAGAATTTATTGAGGATGGATTGGGAGTCGACAGCATCGCTCATAACTTGATGTAAAAAACATAAGCCTAACATATCGCGGCGATCACTCAATGTTTGCATTTTAAAATATTTAACCCTATCAACATAAGATTCAACATAAATAGGCGGCCTAAAACGGTACGACATGTGGCGAAGTAACTTTTTTTGAATTAATGTTGGGTAGTTACAATAGTAACTCTGAAAAGGAAGTAGTGAGATCTTGGAATTGTAAAATCTTTGTAAGGACTAAACGATAGCTAATATGGTAAATAAAGTGTAGGTTATTCTATTTTTTTTACAGTGGCATAATGTTTCCGGGTGGAGAATCCGGTATCTCGGTACCAGACACCATGTGTACTCCAAAATCTGTTGGAATATCCGTCGACACTAACACGTACGAGCCTCATCTTCTGGCCGGCACTATGGCGCATATGATCGGACATAATATCGGTGAGTGAGATGGTAGACCAAAACAAAATAACGTCATAGCTACACTTTAAATTAGAAGGCTGAGTTGCTTCAATGCAGAAATAACCTATCATATATAACCAATTCCAAGTGAAAATATTTCTAGATAAGCATTGGCAATATGTACATCTATGACTAATATAGTACAGTCTGACCAAAAATGCCAAATATCTTTATTAAAGATTAGTTGAATTGGCCTTAGTCATTGCACCGAAATCAGACAAATACGAACATACAGCATGGTAATACGTACCACAAGGAATGACAATTTTTTGCGGGTTTGTCCGTGATATTTTAGATATTAACGTGTAGCACATAATTGGTACTAGAGAATTGAAACACACAGATTCAACACTCCTTGCTAGTACATCATTTGGTTGATGGATGGTACATATGCTTCTTCAAACGAGGCTTGTGGAGAGTACTTAATGGTAGACAGGGGCTTGGCTCTGCCCCTGGCATTGCTGAAGTCCATGGGCGACGGTAAGCCACACACGATCAGGTGGGCCGTATGCTCGTCTGCCTGCAAGGGCAATAAAAAAAACTAATAATATATTAAAAATATATATTGTAATGCTCGTAAAAAATTGTAAAGAAATAAAAAGCAATGGTAAACAGTCCATTAACGGCTTCGTTTCACAGGGATGGGCCACGACGATGGCCGGGAGCAGTGCTTCTGCCGCGACTGGCACGGCTGCATCATGGCCCAGTCCATCGTCGGTTCTGACAACGTCCAGCCCTACAAATTTTCTGACTGCTCTAAGAATGACTACATCAACGATCTCAGGGTCGGGCAAGGTCTCTGCTTGCTGAACAAACCTAATGAAGTAAGTCAAGGAAAATAACTGCCTGATAACCTATGATTTCCAAGTAGTTGATAGGAAGCCGAAAATGGACTTATGGTCACCAAAGCCAATAAAAATGACAACGAGACTGTCACAACCCACCTTGAAGCATAACGTTGCGACACAAGCAAGCAAGTTTTTGAAGTCGTCGTGGCCTAAGGGATAAGACGTCCGGTTCGTGTTGAGCGACGCACCGGTGTTCGAATCCCAGGCGGGTACTAATTTTTCTAATGAAATACGTATTCAACAAATGTTCACGATTGACTTCCACGGTGAAGGAATAACATCGTGTAATAAAAATCAAACCCGCAAAATTATAGTTTTTGTAATTACTGGTGGTAGGACCTCTTGTGAGTCCACACGGGTAGGTACCACCACCCAGCCTATTTCTGCCGTGAAGCAGTAATGCGTTTCGGTTTGAAGGATAAGGCAGCCGTTGTAACTATACTGAGACCTTAGAACTCATATCTCAAGGTGGGTGGGGCGGCAGTTACGTTGTGTATGTCTATAGGTTCCGGTAACCACTTCACACCGGTGGGCTATGAGCTCGTCCACCCATCTATGCAATAAAAAATAAACGTAAAACTGTACACACTTCACAGGCTCTGCTGACTTTACATTTCCCGTACTCTGTTCAAAAAGTAATGCACGAAACTTGACGAAACATTTTAATGTTCTCGAATAAATTAAAAATAGCTGTATTCTTGCGTTTCGTGCAGTAAGGTTTAGCATTATCTCGCCGTCCCTACCGTCCTTGGGCCGTCAAAATCCACCAAATTTCGGCTTAAAATTTCGTTGACTGTAAATTCTCATGAATCTGCTGTGCAGGGTATACGAAAATTAAAACAGCTCGAGTCATAAACTTTGACACTAAAATTTTGGATATATACTTTATTGTACATAAATAAAAAAACACAGAAACAGAGCAAATTTATTTTAAAGATAAAAAACGCAATTGACATTTGCTATAACTAGCCTAGATTTGACACCAAAAAAGTTTTATTAAAAAAAAACATCTTCACAATAATTCTCAGTCGCCGTATTTAGAATATCAAAAAATCCACAGTTTAATCTAAAGCGAATTTTAAATTTGAATTTGCAACAAATATACCAAAACACTAAAAAATATTTACGCTACACATGTGGTTTCTTTGATTTATTCTGCCATCACAACTAAGGATGTCATCAGGTAAAAGAAGAATAGGGAGTATCTTGATCTTGAATATTTAATCTTTTCTCAATTTGACCACAGATTATAGGCATAAGAAAAGTTTGAGAATAAACAAATAGTATGCATGAGTGTGTGTGTGTCAAATACATGGTAGTGTGTGTAATGTTTTTTTTATTGATTTAATGTACCTTTTATGCCTTATTTAAAAAAAATCTCTATATTCTCTATAAGTGTAGAAAATTTCATACTCCTCCGTCCGCGCAATTTTCGTAAGAAGGGATACAAAGTTTTTGCTTCACGTATTAATATATAGATATTGACATAACAATCAGCTTACCTAACAGATCACATTCCGGTAGCTTTGTGAATCGCTGTTGAGCATACCATTCCGACCGTAAACCGTATCCAACCAGAACTTCGCGAGCCATCGGAATTCATCCATAAAACGCCGCGTCTAAAATTAATCAGACTCGATCCCATTGTTTGTCAGGTTCACTCCTACTCCTTTAATAAAAGTTATGGTAATGCAGGCGGGCCGCTCCTTCTATTATCGCGGCGTTCACGAATATATAATAACAGGAGCCCGGTTCGGTTTATTTGAATAAATCTACATAGCTGCTGTTTATATTCAGAGTCCGCCCAGCGTTCGTATCGAAATTCTTACATATTTATCGCCAGATCATTGTATTATACAGTAAAAACTCCTTATTAGCGCTTCCTTCGTTCGCGTTTTCACTATTCTCGGATCAATAAAATGCAACCTAATTCCTATGTTCGCGGCTAAAGATTTCTTTATTCACAGATTTAATCGGTACACCGGTGTATACGTATTAATAAAAAGGATTCTAATCTGTAAGGTATCCAACCGAAGATACTTTGTAAGCGCGTTTTTCCATATTCACGGTTTCTGTATTCGTGGCATATTTAAGGAATATCCCGCTTTTGGCGTACACGTTTTCTGTAATGTAATATGGATGTGTGTGTGTGGGTGATGATACAACGTGACCTATAGTTTGGTAGCTGGGTTGCTAATTAGTTTTAAGACGTTTATTTGAAATATTGAAATACATCGTATCGGAGCCAACGTGGTCCTCTGCGACCACTACAAACAAGACCTTAATGTTATAAATATTGGTATTATTATACAATAAGCGAATTTAAACCTTAAGGCATAATATTCCGAGAAATCGTAATTTTTTTTTTAAAAACCCTATTGGACCCTTTGGGCCTAAATAAAGTGTAACGATGACAGAAAAATAAATACATTAAGACAGAACACTAATATAAGTATGCCAAATACTATTAAGATACATAGTAGTATTCACATGTCTTATTTTTGGATTTGAACCAAACTACATGACAATTATTCAATGTTCTTTTTATTGCTTAGTCTGGTGGACGAGCTTACAGTCCACCTGGTGTTAAGTAGTTACTGGAGCCCATAGACATCTACAACATAAATTCGCCACCCACCTTGACAAGTTCTAAGGTCTCAGTATAGTTACAACGCATTACTGCTTCACGGCAGAAATAGGCACCTACCCGTGCACTCACAAGAGGTCCTACCACCAGTAAAATTTCAACTTTAGAGGTATTGCAAATTATTCAAAAATATTATTATTGGTAAATAAAACAAAATCTATTTATGGTGTGGTGCTTCAGGAAATTATATTTTTATACTTAAGAACATAAACAATAAATCCGAACCGAGCCCGTATTGGATGCAAATTTAATAATACACCAAACTCGGCTACTGGGTACATTGTCTGGAATCACTTACGTCAAACACGCAGCTGAGATGTTTTCCTTGTTCGACTGATGCATAATACACTAGCGAAAGTTGATGGTTCAATTTGTTTGTCACGCTTTCTATCTCAATATTTTGTAGCCGGCGCTTCGTAAAGAAACTGCGACTCTATATTTTCCTTCGTCTACATTCATTCAAGGTTCCTGAAACTTTAACTGTGTTACGCAGTTTTATTGTTTTATACGAAGTTAAACTTCTACGAAGACTGTTTTGTTTTTGAGTTAAGGTTCCAGCTTTGTTTTCTAAACGTAAAAATAGTCCTTAAAAAACGCAATAAAAATCTAGCTAATGTGTCTTTTGTCATATTAAATACAAGCGGCCCGCTAAGGCTTCGCTCAGATCGTTGTTTTATTTTTTAAAATAAAAGAACACTTTTTGCGCCATAATTATAATAGTTAGACATATGGTGTCGGAACACTTTTTGTAAATAATTATGTGTTCTACAAAGTCTACATTACAGTTCTACAGTAAGTACTAAAGTTCTACATTATTTTATTCTATCATCAATGGTTTCCGCAGGGCACGCGATGTAAAGAATAGTTTTGGTTATTTTTTTACACCTTGGGTTACATTATTGGAGTTTTAGTAAGGATCCCTAATTTTTTTTAAAAAAGATTATAGCCTATGTTACTCGGGAATAGTGTAGCTTCCAAACAGTGAAAGATTTTTTCAAATCGGTTCAGTAGTTTCGGAGCCTATTCGAAACAAACAAACAAACAAATCTTTCCTCTTTATAATATTAGTATAGATAACGCGCTTTGCAGCTGTTTCATAACTTTCAAATAACATCCATCTCTTCTATACCACTAAGAAAAAGTACCAAAATCCAAAACTAAACACTGATCAATAAATTTTTTGTATCACTTTTACTGACATCTTTAGTTTTATTACTTTTTTTATTGATAGTGATACCCTCCAAACAGTAACGAATTTCTTGCCTAACGCTAAAAATAGTAAAGACATATATGTGTACAGCGAACCAATTTTCAATATATTATTAATATTTTTTTTATTGCTTAGATGGGTGGACGAGCTCACAGCCCACCTGATGTTAAGTTACTGGAGCCCATAGACATCTAAAACGTAAACGCGCCAACCACCTTGAGATATAAGTTCTAAGGTCTCAGTATAGTTACAACGGCTGCCCCGCCTTTCAAACCGAAACGCATTTACTGCTTCACGGCAGAAATAGGCGGGGTGGTGGTACCTACCCGTACGGACTCGCAAGAGGTCCTACCACCAGTAATTACATTAAAATTTTTGCGGGTTTGATTTTTTTTACACGATGTTATTCTTTCACCGTGGAAGTCAATCGTGAACATTTGTTGAGTACGTATTTCATTAGAAAAATCGGTGCCCGCCTGAGATTCGAACACCGGTGCATCGCTCAACACGAATGCACCGAACGTCTTATCGCTTAGGCCACGATGGCTACTTCGCTTTGCTTTCTATAACGATTACGAATGAAAACTGCATCTTAAATTTTCCTCGAGTTGGTGATCCATCATCAGTGCGGCAACGGCAAGCTTGACGAAGGCGAGGAGTGCGACTGCGGGACCCTGAACGAGTGCCACAACTCTAACCCGTGCTGTGACCCGTTCACCTGCAGACTGACCAAGGAAGCTCAGTGCGCGTCCGGGGAGTGCTGCGAGAGGTGCCAGGTAATAAATAATAACAAAGAAACGATTCATTCTGCCCATCCATGTCGCACGGTAATTGACCTTAAAGCAAATTATTCCAAGCAAAACACCAGAAATTCTAAAAACACACATTTAAAAGGGATAGTTCAATCCAGAGCTGAGCTTATTGATCCCATTGCATTTCCTTAATAATAACCCATAATACCGAATTTAAACATTGCTCAAACCAAATATTTGGCAACCCTTACAAATCAATCGCAAGGCCTTCGATGCCGAAAAAAGCAATTTTAAAATTATTCAATATTTGCATGATACACATATTATTCCATATATTTCATATTATTCACCGGCCTTTGTCAAACATATGCTTTCAATTTCGGCCGTTGAGTTTAGTCTTCGGAAGAAAATTTCAAAACCTTTCTATGACTATTTAACAAGAATTACATAGCTATTTATTTACTTTTGATGTTTTAAAAATTATTCAATTTCATATTTCGAATTTTGGTGCGGAATTTGACATTAAGCTTTAAGCCAACGATTCGCAACATCAACTGGAAATTTTCAGCTCAAGCCCCGCGGAGTTGTGTGTCGTGACGCGACCAACGAATGCGACTTAGAGGAAACTTGCACCGGCCTATCCGGGGCTTGTCCAGCCGACTCCTACCGGAAGAACGGCGAATCTTGCGAAGACGGCAAGGGGTACTGCTTCGCCGGACAATGTCCCACGTTATCTCTGCAATGCGAGAGAATATGGGGCACCGGTACTGTTGGAGCGGACAAAGAATGCTTCGAACAGTTCAACTCTAAAGGAGCTGTGACCGGCCACTGCGGGAAGGACAGTAACGGGCACTACATTAAGTGTGAAATGGAGTGAGTTCATCAAAAATATCCTTAGATAATATTCGAATTTGGTTTTGGTTTTGGTATTTTACTAGGGGTAGGACCTCTTGAGAGTCCGCGCGGGTAGGTACCACCCTGCTTATTTCTGCCGTGAAGCAGTAATGCGTTTCGGTTTGAAGGGTGGGGCAGCCGTTGTAACTATACCTGAGACCTTAGAACTTATGTCTCAAGGTGAGTGGCGTATTTACGTTGTAGATGTCTATGGGCTCCATTAGCCACTTAACACCAGGTGGGCTGTGAGCTCGTCCACCAATCTAAGCAATAAAAAAAAATTGTAGCAAATGCAAGAAATCTCAAGTTTACGAGAGCCGATGATATAAATGCTTCTCGGCAAAGCGAAGTTCGTAAACTAAGCTATTTCTCGGTAGACCCTCGCTTCGAGTCTTTGGAACTCGTTATTATTTATATATGTGTTCGTATTCTAATATATATGAGATTTTACTTTTTTAATCCCGTATTGGGTATCAAAAAATATTTTTCCATTCGCCGATTGATATCTGGAAAACTTTAGTTAATCTACTTTAAATTGATAAAAATAGGCTTACTACTAGAAAAGATACGTTTCTTTACTCTTTGTCTGGGTGTTTATTATCTATATATGTATAAATTTAAACGTATCTAAGTATGTTTATCAGTTTCTGGTACCCATAACACAGGGAATTCTAAATTAGAGCGGCTGACCGTGCGTGATCCCCCCCGCTCCCCAGATCCCCGTGCTCCCATTTATTATTTTTAATAATCAAATTCAAATTCAAATTCAAAATCATTTATTTCAACTTAAGATGTAAGCATGACACACTTGTTGAATGTCAAAATATAAATAACAATGTTAACTCTACCACCGCACCGGTTCCAAAAAAAGCCACAGTCCTCAGAAGAACCGGCGAAACAAACTCAGCGGGCTTTTATTTTGTTTTTTCTCAATTTTTTTTTATTTTTAAATAAATAAATATATTTACAATAAAGGAAAAAACAAGTCAAAAAATACAATTAAAAATAATAATAATATTAATAATAATGAAAAAAGAAAAGGCCAGGAGCGAACGCCTCATTCCCACGTAGTGCCATCTAGTAAATAATCCTTAACTTTATAATATGCCTTGTTGCACAAACGTTCCTTGACAGTTTTTTTAAATCTATGGACAGGTAGTAATTGAACGTCTTGGTGCTATTCTAAATATTTGAAATCTTATCGAAAGCTCTTCGCATTAATTCTCAATACGCTTCTGTTAATGAATAAGATCACAGAAAAGAATGATAATTTTCAGGAACGTTCGCTGCGGCTCTCTACAATGCCAATTAGGGAACAGATATCCTGTTGTGACCGGAATGGATGAGTACTACACGAGAACCGTCATCACCATTAAGGGGAACGAATATGAGTGCAAGTGAGTTATAGTACTTAAGAGTACCAATAACATAAATAAAATATTTTGATTCTATCATAAAAACAAATGCATACAAGACAAAGCAGAAGAATGTAGTGCTGAAGGACAAAAGGGAATGCAATGTTGCCGACGAGGATGTCGAAGACAGAGCGAAGTGAGGGAGTAAAGTGAGGAAAGCTGACCCCACCACCATGTGGGATAAATATCTGGGAAGAAAGAGAGAGAGAGACAAAAATAAATGAATCAAATCTGAATTTATTATTTTTAATGTAGCCAGATAAATTTAGACAAAAGACTCCGTTTCCAAAAACATCTTCAATGTGGATCCTTGTCCAATTCATGGTTTATCTCTAGTATCGAATTAAATTATCTAAAAGAATCTCTAAAAATCGATCAATTCTTTTGGGAATCTAATTTAAATAGCTTGAATTGTACCCATTATCATTTGCCACTAAGGCGAGAAATAAAAAATAAAAATACTGTATGTCTTTATGCATATTCTGCATTATTCTCCTTCGTTGACTCCAGAGCAACAACAGGCCTACCGAAGCACTCGGAGATCGCTCCCTTGGGGCTGGTCAGGGATGGAACCCCGTGCGGCGACAACCTCGTCTGCGTCAACCAGACCTGCACCTCTATATTCCCTTTCATCGACCACACCAAGTGCCCAACGGACCACAACAACCACGAGTGCTCAGCCCGGGGGGTGAGTGTCAATATTTTCATTTCTAAAATAAAACAATTTATCGATAGGTAATGTATACATTTTGAAGACGGGCTCGGTATAACGTCTTCTTTTTTATTGCCCCTGTAGGCAGACGAGCAGATGGCCCACCTGATGGTGAGTGGTTACCGTCGCCCACGGACTTCAGCAATGCCAGGGACAGAGCCAAGCCGCTGCCTACTAAAATATATATACGTCTGTGTATAAAGTCTCTAGATGAACAATGGAATTATTTGAAGAAGGCTTTTACCACTGAACCAAATTTAACTTATCAATACTAAACCAATAAAAAAGTTAAACATAATACGTCATTAAAAGGGAAGAAAATGATAAATAAATCAAATTTACGTATGCACTAAAAGTGCTCTTGGATTATATCCAGTTAAGATTTTTTTTTTATTTCATAGATGGGTCGACGAGCTCACAGGCCACCCGGTGCTAAGTGATTACCGGAGCCCATAAACATCTACAACGTAAATGCCGCCACACACCTTGAGATATGAGTTCTAAGGTCTCATTATAGTTACACGGCTTACTGTGACTTATTATTATCCGAGGTACATCATACTGAGATAGAATATATTAAAGTGGAACTCCAAACTGTCGTACGCGATATTAAGAATATGACTGCACAACATAAAGTCCGTCCATCACATACAATAAATGTTTTCAGAAAAACTTCTCGCGTAAATCGTAGCTTAGTAGATTCTTTCTCGAACATGTCTGACACGAGTATCGCGCTGCAGAAGTTTGCATAAACAAAACAACTATACTGCGCATAAAATACGGGAGGGAACTTCATAAAATGCACGGAAATAGTTTAAAAGTAAGGCAACAGGAAGCGCCAAGGCACTTTTTAATAGTTTGAGTGCCGGGGCACCGAGCGCGCTATTCAATTTTTCCTTTAAGCTTTTGTACGGATTTCCACGAACTGTTCGCTCGCTAAATTGTTTCTAGTTTACGTTCGCTTTATGATTATTCGAAATGCGAGAGAAACGTTATCGATAGCGAAAACAATCGTGCCGAAGCTGTCCCGGATTATTTGAGACTAGCTGTACCCGTCCGCTTCGCTGGGCATTTAAAATTAACATTATTATTTCGCACCTCCACAATGATTCTCATCATTAACGCCTCCGCAACTGGTGTAGGGAGTCCAACACTCATATAAATATTAGCCTATCCATTAAGTACATGTATTTTCTACATGGATACCAAGTTTCAAGTCAATCGGATACATGGTTCAGTAGTTATAACGGAACATCCATAAAAACCACGATAGATTTATATAATAAATATAGATAAAGGATGCGCCTTATCTTGATATCATCAATGACTTTATTGGGTAAGGCACAAATAAAATTATCGAGTCATTGAAAAAAGAATTATAATCATATGAACGGTTTTTGAAAAAGCAGCGCGTCACGATGACCCTCTAATCGTGACTGACTCCAACTTCATATCCGACCCAGGCTATGGGCAACGCAAAACCGTCATCGCCCAAAACATGCCTTGTGAGATGCTTTTATGCAGACCCTTTCGCTGCTTTTAGACTCTCTCCAAGCACAGGTCACCGTTAACGTCGAAAACGTCGAAAAGTTTGACGTGCAACCTTGCCCAAAAGCTCAACCCCCTGAATTCCTCGTCGGATCTTCTCAGTGGGTTGCGATTCCGATCTAGCTGTATATTCAGCAAAGCATTGCTCTTGCTATAGCTACTGTTACCAAATTGAGAGAGAGGTTCCGACCGTGAGATCACCTACCCGTCCGCTGGAATACCCCCTTAGGTACCAGGGTATACGTATAGGTACCATGCCTATTTCTGCCGTGAAGGGTGGGGCAGCCGTTGTAACTATACTTGAGATTTTAGAGCTTATATCTCAAGATAGGTGACGCATTTACGTAGTAGATGTCTATGGGCTCCAGTAACCATTTAACACCAGGTGGGCTGTGAAATCATCCACCCATCTAAGCAATAAAAAAAATACAGGTAGGAAAAAAAATACAATACAATAGAAACTTAAGCAGCACGTCCTCACAATGTGTTCTCTGTCAGCTCCGGTTATAAATTAACCCAAGAAGACCCTAGATAAATGTATGTAATGTACTTTTCATTCATTTAATCTATTCAAAATACAAAAATCGTAAATTAAAACTCGCATTCAATTCCCACAGACCGCTATGAGGGACCCAAAACGATTCGAACAAAACAAATACATATATCATTCACGGCTTGTTTCAATACAGCACGTAATTGTTTCAATGTTTAATTAAAAATGTCATTCGCGTACGCAGTTTCGGTCATTGACATGCACTTGTCAATAATTCAATGTGGCTACCTCATTAATACCATGTTTACTTCCTATTAAAGAATAAATTCTACAAATAATTAATACTCAACAATACATTATACCTTTAAACGAGCAATTCTTGTATATTAATATATATGTTACCGGAAATGTATGAAATCAAGGAATTGTATACAAATCCTAGGAAATGTGTACAATTCCGATACTATTTAGGAAATGTATAAAATATTGTTTGAAAAACTATTTAATGCATAGATATCCTAGGAAATGTATAAATTTCCTCGGAATTGTATATAATTCCAATCTCGTATTAGGAAATGTATAAAGTAAATGCTTTCTGTAATATAAAACACGTTGTTAATACATAGGCGGCACTGAAAATTTAGGGAATTAACGAAGTGACACAACATTACTATTTAAAAATGTATTTATTGCTTTTCGAAGTATTTTCCGCGAAATTTGACACATTTTTCCATACGATGGAACCAATCATTGAAGCAACCATTCCATTCGGAAGTTGGGGTCTCCAAAATGGCCGTTTTGTAGGCGTCCACAGCTTCTTCAGGTGATGAAAATCTCTGTCCACGCAATTTATTCTTTATTCTAGGGAAAGTATAGAAATCATTAGGGCTTAGGTCGGGGCTGTACGGCGGATGGTCTAATAATTCTATGTTTTCTTGCTCTAAAACTCTTTTGTTCTGTGCGCGATGTGAGAACTCGCATTGTCGTGATGGAGGATGATGCGGCGGTTGCAGTTCTCTTTACGGAGTTCAGAAACGACCTGTGGCAAACAAATGCTAGCATACCATTCTGCATTAACCGTTCTTTGTCCCTCAAGAGGAATAGTCGTAACATGGCCGGTTTTGGAGACAAACATGGCCACCATTTTTTTTGCAACACTCCGTGAACGAANCTGTCCCCGCGTACCCACCAATATCTTAAATGTTTTACATTTCCGATTGCTATTTAGGAAATGTATAGATTTCCTAAGAAATGTGTAATGTGTAAGTATAATATAATTTATTTCACACATTTCCGTGCGATTTTAGGAATTACATACATTTCCTAGGAATTGTATACAATGACGGATTACATACATTTCCGTTAACATATATAATCTGAATCTCGGAAACGGCTCCAACCATTTTCATAAAATTTACTATACACGGGATTTCGGGGGCGATAAATCGACCTAGCTACGATTTCTTTTCAGAAAATGTTGTTTTATTCCTTTTTTTCAATATTCAACCCTTCCCGACATCTATTGGCGAATAATAATACTATTTTTCTTAATTGAGGGCAACTAACCGCTTTAAAGACACAAGATGGCGTTGTCAAAAAAAATCATCGGTCATCATCTATTTAAAAGAAAATGAGCCAAGAACGTTTATCGATAAAACCTAACAACATTAAAATCTTCTGGACAGCAATAAAACCGCCATGTTTAGCGGACAGATGACGTCACAGTGACACGCATTTTTTGTTGACGTTTCATTTCCATAGGTTTCATACTTCAGTGGGCTACCACCTCAATTATATTTTATACTTCAAGTGCCACGCTAAATTTTACAAGGGGCCATCTTGCGTTTAGGTTTGAAAGGTTTCCAGTGTTCCCTACAATGAAATTTGCTACATAATGGCATAGACATAAAGTCTTCTCTTGTATGAATGAAACCGCTATTACTCTGATCCAATTGAACTTCGACTCCGTGTTGTTCGACTCTCTCTGCACAGAGGTGGAACGTAAGCCTCAATAAATATTAAACTATTCGCATGCACTTGAAAGTGCTTTCAAAATTATTTCTTGGATAGAATAAGCTATCATCTATATAACTATATAGGTATATAAAAATGAATTGCTGTTTGTTAGTCTCGCTAAAACTCGAGAACGGCTGGACCGATTTGGCTAATTTTGGTCTTGACTTATTTGTGGAAGTCCAGAGAAAGTTTAAAAGGTAGATAAATATGAAAATGCTCGGAATTAAATAAAAATAACAATTATGTTTTTCCTTTGATGTGTCCCCCGTCGGACGGATTTCTTTTGTTTGTTTTAAGTTTATTTTATACAAAACTTTAGGCCTTTTCTTTATCGATTGAGGCACTACGAAGTCTGCAAGGTCGGCTAGTCGACAAATATTTAAACGCGTTTTATTAAATATATTTACATTTACCGGTATGCGCAATTCGAAGTGAACAGCAATACCAGAGGAAGATTACAGCGCTTTTTTTCCCCTGCTTATTTGCTGGTAGCCTAAAGGGCTAATCCAATTACGCGCGGACGGGTAGGTGAATTCAAGGGCTCAACCTGAGAGAATTTGGTAACACTAGCTCTAGCAAGAGCAGTGCTTCGCAGAACCTACCACCGGATCGGAATCGCGACCCACTGAGAAGATCCGGTGAGAAACTCAGTGGGTAAATTCCAGTTCAATCTAGTTTGTTCTAGCGATATGGTGATACCAGTGGGTATCGATATTCTCTGACTACTTTTCTAATTTTGATTCTCCGAAAACCCTCAAAAAACGTGCCTTTTGATTAAAATTGATTTGGTTAAATACTAGGCGTTAAAGTATGAAATTGCCGATTTGTACTGAAAAAAAAAACAACTGAAAGTCGATAATCGAATGTTGTACACTTTTTGTTTTATTGTTTAGATGTGTGTCGAGCTCACAGCCCACCTGGCCCATAGTAAATGCGCCACGCACTTTGAGATATAAGTTCCCGCCCTTCAAACTGAAACGCATTACTGCTTCACAGCAGAAATAGGCAGGGTGGTGATACCTACCCGTGCGGACTCACAAAAGGTCCTACCACCAGTAAAACTACACTTTTTAACATTTTAAAAGAAGAACCTCATAGGTACCGTTAGAAAAAAGTTTCACTCTAAAGTCTCAAACCATGAGCGTTCTATGTCAATTCGGAGTACCTATTACAATAGAACGACAATTTCACACTTTAACCCCTATTATTTTATCCCGGACCTCACCTCGTAACGATACTATTCAAGGGTGAATGTAATGAGGAGAATCGAATTGCAATTCGATCATTTGTAATTGGTTCGTTCGACTGCAATTTAGACCTCGTTAATTATGACGGGAGACTGTTTTAATCCGACGCTGGCATTGGTCCAAGTTACAGGCGATAGCTATCAAATATTGTATTTTTTTTTTTATTATAATGTGATGATCAGTTATGCCATAAGTTGAAATAAAAATTGAAGACCCCTAATTTCGAATTTACAACAATGAGCTTAGTCGCCGGATATACTCCGATATATTACTACAATAGTTTTCTAAATAGCCAATGTTGATACTGTTAATTCTCAACGAATAATACTAGCCTTCAAGTAAGAAAAACAGTAGTTGGTGACATGAGTTAAAAAAATTGTGTTGTATTTTATGTAATGCAAAATACTTTTTATAATCGCTTACACAAGCACGTTTTAATGGAGTAAACTAGCTTATGATTGTCTTTGGGTCAAATATTTGTTTTTTTATCAAATACTTTGCCATGCGAAGAATGAATTCGAACGTTTACTATCTTAAATTGATTATAAGATAAATCTAAATTAAAGGAACTGACGTGAGATGTAATAATGTGGAAATAAAGCGGCTGAAAATACTGAATAAAAATGAAGTTTTGAACACTCGGGAAGCCACGTTCCGCAATTCACGTTCAATTATATATTTTCACACTCGCACTCTTTCACAGATGATAAACGGCTAAAAAAACTTTGTTTATACATTTTAACCCAAAGCAATTTTTTTATTTTAACCCAAAGCAATTTTTTTTTATCTTTAAATCAGCGCCCTCCAAAAAGGACAAAAATACGAATTTTATGATCTTATTATTGCAGATTGCGTTATAATTTTTGCAATTAATAAAAAAACGTTCATTAAATAGCTTATAAAATATAACTAGAATCCACTGTAACAATACTCATAACGACAAACGCTACCTCTTAAGACACGGACGCGAGAACATTACAGACGAACTCTTTGATAATTTTATTAGCATCCAGAGGAAAATTTTGTAAATTCGTACTGCAGTCCCGAATGTTGTTTCATTAATTTGCAATTTTAACATTGCAACTCCTGACAATAAATCGAAAGCTATCATCGAATCAACTTTTATTTAACATGTATGTACCCAACAATTTATTTTTATTGCAATAAGTAATTAAATACGTGCCAAATCTTATTCTTTGTTTATCGGTTGAGTTTTTTTTTATTGCTTGGACGAGCTCGCGGCTGACCTGATCTTATGTGATTACCGGAGCCCATAGACATATGTAAATGCTGCCACCCACCTTGAGACATGAGTTGTAAGGTCTCACTTTTAACAGTACAACGTAACGGCTGCCCCGCCCTTCAAACCGAAACGCATTACTGCTTCAAAAATAGTCTAGTCTATACCTGCAAAAATAGTCTAGTCTATACCTGAATCGTATAACGTCTTGTGAGTCCGCACGAGTAGGAACCACTGCCCTGCCAGTTTCTGCCGTGAAGCAGTAATGCGTTTCGGTTTGAAGGGTGGGGCACCCGTTGTAACTATACTGAGACCTTAGAACTTATATCTCAAGGTGAGTGGTGGCATTTACGTTGTAGATAGATATCTAACGGATGACGGTCCGGACGATTACCGGAGCGCATAGACATGGGCTTAACCTCTTTTCTCTATAATAATATAAAAATGTGTTCGTCTATTCCAGATTTGTTCGAACCTAAACAAGTGCGTCTGCAACCGAGGCTGGACGGGTCCAGATTGTTCACAGCACGACGCCCTCCCACCCTCGCCGACCCCCTACGTACCAGAGAACGCCACGAAAGCAGCATACAACATGACCAAAAAGGAAACACCGTATGGTGAGTCCATCCCAGTATCGGAGCCTCTAGTTTAGAAACCCGGAAACGGAACGATGCAAATTGATTGAAGTTCTTCGATACGTATTTTGGTAACCACTTATCAACTGAAGGACCGTAATTTAGTCTCTTTTTGGAGACAGTAAATATGTTGTTAAATGTTACCTCTAAATAGACTTTTAACTTTTAAAAGTACCTCTGAAAGCAATAATAAGATCCATTGCATCTAGTATTTGCAGAAAGTGTCACAGATGCTTAAATTTGGGAAAAGAAAACGAACGTACAACTAACGTACGAACCGATTAATTAATATTTATATTTTCAGGTTACTCATACGAATTCCTATTAATATTCCCCCTACTTACTATCGTGTAATTGGCTGTACAGATCCGAGCACTGCTTTTCAAAATCAATAAAAATAGCTTGACCGCGTCGCGTTTAAAACACTCGCTCAAGAAAACATTGAACATCGCGTCATTTATATAGTTATCGCCACTTGGTTAGTTGTTTGAATGCCTGGTTGTGAGCCAAAGGCATTGCTCGGAGCTGGTGTGTGATAGCGCGGGCGGCGCCGGCGCACTAACGCGCGGGACCCATCTCGTTACAGGTGAACACGAAGGGAATAAGATGAGCACCATGAACATGGTGATTTTGTTGCTCGCGGTCGTCCTCTCTGTGTTCGTGGGGTTCGCCTGGATGGCTTACTGCTTCAGGTAACAGCCGGTAACTCGGTGTTGTCGCACTGCCTGTCGTGTCGTGTCGTGTCGTGTCTTGTCGTGTCTTGTCGTGCCTGTGACCTCGCGCGAGACCCCGCGGCGCCGGCGCCCCCGCCCCGGGCCCGAGCGACCCCCCCGCACTCGGAGGGAGCTCCAGTGCGAGGGCGTCGCTCGACTCACACCCTTTTCTTTGGGCGCAGAGAACTACCACGGCTCGAACACGGTGTTCCTCGTGGCGGTCCTCATGTCTGTGGTAGGGGGGGTATTCATAGTATTTGCCCTGAGCGCTCTCTGCTACAGGTCAGTCGTAGTACACAAAAACTTCTCCCTGTGCCTAAGGTTAGTGAGCAGAAAACAGACCAAAGGTAGTCTTTGAGAAGAAATTTAAATCGTCACCTTCGTATCACTTGTATGTTTATTTAGACGTTTAGAAGTTGGTGTTTCTGTTCATTTTTACGTCGGCGATTGGGTTTTTGTTTTGAACGTTTGTGTTGGTTACGTTTGTGGTCGTAGAGCTAGTGTTGGCGGGTGGCGCGCCGGTGCGGGCCTGCGCCGCGTCGACGCGCCACAACTGCATTTGATCTGTGGTTCTGTGTCGCGCCGGCCTCGCTGCATGCCGACAGGGCTTTCCTCGTTCAACTCGAGATACCTCGACTAAACCCTTAAGATTCTGGGCTCTTGGATGTATGCATTGGCTTTATGTGAACTGTGACTCGTTTTCGTTTCCTTTCTTGGTCGGAGTCCGCGTCGCCGGGCGGACCTTGACAGCCCGGCGGCGCGTTCGCTTCTATATCTTCTACTAACAGCCGACTAACGTTGTGCTAGCCGCGAACTAACAGCTAACAGCCACTAGTGCTGTACTAACGGACGGTAATATCGCAGCGCTGAGGTACGTACACGAGAAGATATAGAACGCTCGACTTGTCACCATCACTACCACTATCTACCACTCAATTCTACTGATCTTTTGCACGAGAAGCGAATGTGCGATGCACGGATTCTTCTTTCGAGCAGCTGTCTGTCTAGTTAGCAACGCCTAATGTTAAATTTAAGAACATCGGAGTTTTTCCAGCAAAACAACAATAATTTACGAACACAGAAATAATTGACGTTAAGGTAGCAGCAGTAATGAAATTTATACATTCAAAAGTTATTAAACAAACAGCTAACTTGCAATTAAATGTTCTCAAAATCATTCCTCGTAAAACACTGCTGGAATCTTCCACGCGAAACTCAATCGAGCAAAACTTTAAGCATAACGTAACCAAAAATTGCTGGAAAGACTCTTAAACACGTAAGCTAATCTCAATTTCTAAACAACTAACTCCATAACATTAAATTCCCATGAGGAATGAAACGAAAAGAACAATTTAAATATTTAAATTATCCAGATCGATTTTTAAGCAATCTTTGAAATTGAATTTGAAATAGTATCTGATATCCAATAGCGCCAGTCTTTGCTTTTGAAGATTCAATAAATTGCTAAAATATGAATTTTGAGGACGGACAGCGAAATTATGAAACAGAGTCATCTTGCCTTGAATTCATCGTCACATCGCCTTTTCTGTTATCGCGCTTCGATAAACTAAAAAAGTACCGTTAGAAAAATAAAAATATGTTAAAATAATAATAAATTTTAAATAATAAATTCATATAATATATATTATGCTATTTAAAAACCTAAAAATGCTCGTTTGAATACATAGTAAACCGAACTAACAATCAATTTCACCTTTTTTGTTGGAACGAACTTATAAAACAAATATATCAAAGATTTCTTTATATACAAACAAACAGATAAATATACCAAGCTAATAAAAGCGCGTTAAAAAGTATTTAATTTATTAAGCTTTTTTCTGATAGACTCATGGTTGGGAACATACGACGATATCAAGTATACCGTCGCGATCATAATTTATTCGCGAAGCAGTAAATTAAATATCATTACAAAAAAAGCATGTTTCATGGCTTAAAATAAATAATACCGTCCTCATTTTTCAATTTCGAAATTAGAATTCCTATAAAAAAAAAACTTATTGCTGTAATTTGCCCTTTATTATCGATATTGTAAACTTAATCGATTGATCTGAGTGTGCGTTCCTACGCCACGCCTGCCCGCTAGGAAAAAGAGCACGTCGAGAAAGTACGACCCGCCCTACGTTAAGAAGCCCATAGCGAAGAGCTTCGCCGCGGGTTCGACGACCTCCAACAATTCACAGGAGGACATATCGCTCGATGGCGGGAAAATGCACTCCTTCAACAACACTTTCAGGTAACACTATCAACTTACCAATTGTAGCCAATCACTAATCGTGATTAGAAACACTTTTACGGTTAAATTTCATTCCATTTTCAGTGGGATGTTCAATTTTTGAAGTGAAACATCTTTAGAATCGTTGTGATTTCAAATTCGATGAAACGAAAAAATCAGTCCATAGGGAGTTTTTTAATACAGCGCCATCTATGAGATTTTTAATACTAACGTGTGTATGAAACCTCTTGTAGTGAATTTTAATTTAAGATTATACGTGAAGTTAAAATATCAATTCACAGAGGGCGCTACCTCATACTATAAAAGATGATTTACAATTTTATTTACTAATGACAAAATTTTACATATACTTAGACATTTAGGATAATTGTATTTTAATTTTTGAAGGTTTCACTTCTACCACGTGTGAATTCCACACATGTATTTTTTTATGTTTATCAGTAAGTAATTACCCAGAATCGAAAAACCAAGAATTATATGAATCAGACCTGGGCTTAGTTCCTTTTCAAACTAGTTGTGGAGGTAAGGTCATTAAAGTGCTTGCAAAGGTCAAAAATCAATAAGTCGCACTGGTTAGGGTTAATACTCTGTCTTTTTCTGCAACGAAGCGAACCATTTTAGTTTAGAACAAAAAGTTAAAAAGCTATTTTCCGTTACGCGCAATGTACTAAGATTTAAATCAGCTGACGCGTTGCATCTCCAATGTCGATCAGACGTGAAGTCCGTCAGTCATTATCTTATACCTTTAAACGAGAAATTCTTGTATCTGCAATCTGAATCTCAGAAACGGCTCCGACGATTTTCATAAAATTGTTGTTTTATTCGTGTTTTCAATAATCAACTTTATCAATAATCAACTTTATGACTCTTCCCGACATCTATTGGAGAACAATAATACTATTTTTCTTAATTGAGAGCAACTAACTGCTTTAAAGACACAACAAGATGGCGTTATACAAAAAAAATACCGAGCTTGGGCTCGGTCATCCTCTAGTTGGTTCTTACGTAAACTGCTTCATCAATTTTCTTCTATGTCCTTGTTTTTTATGTGTGCTACCAATTATTTCTACGTGTTTTTAATTTCTTCTTTCTTTTGTTTGTGGGATCTGGTGTAACAGAAACCTGTTGAGGTACGTCCGTCGAAGCTACGAGTCGAGCACCGCAGTCGTTTTATTGAGCTCACAAAATGCGCGCTTTAACATAACGCTTGTCCTTAAAATGTATTTGGACACGAATGGACCACGATTTAGCTGATTCGCACATCACATTACGCGATAAAAACACGCTTTAATGATTCAAATTCGCGCATTTTTAACTTGGAGACGATCGTAAATCATAAATAAATGCATAGTTAACGCCCAAGGGAAGCAAATATATTCGAGGAACGTAGATTTTGCTGGCATGAATAAAGTTATAACTTAATGATTCAGGGTAGTTACGATCAGAGTACTTTACCTGTAAGGCAGGATGTGGATTTTTACGGGTGGTAGGACCTCTTGTGAGTCCGCGCGGGTAGGTACCACCACCCTGCCCATTTCTGCCGTGAAACAGTAATGCGTTTCGGTTTGAAGGGTGGGGCAGCCGCTATAACTATACCTGAGAGCTTAGAAATTATATCTCAAGGTGGGTGGCGCATTTACGTCGTAGATGTCTATAGGCTCCTGTAGCCAGGTGAGCTGTGAGCTCGTCCACCCATCTAAGCAATAAATATAAAAAAGTGGGTGCAGCGGTGTTAGAAAACCCCGGCCTTGGCACTTCAATGAACCTGTTATATCAGTATCTATGCCATTTTCACCGCGCGCTTAGTAGAGGGCACTAGGTTAAAGATTGCACACGGGCGCTGCGTGAGTTATAGATGCCTTTGGTTACAATAGTCACACCACACCACAGCCTATTATGTCAATAATAACACAAATGCGTCATCAGATTCTGATGTAATTGTCGATAAACCAGAAACAGCAATTCCGGCAGGAGAAATCAGCTTGATACATAAAGTCGAGATCACCAAATCGTACTTACTAATCAACCACTAGGAGTAGTTTTGGAGTTTTTAGCGAAAACCCTAGAGATCACACATCATTATTTTTGTATCTTAGCTATTTAGACCGGTTTCACGAATATGCGTGTTGTTCAAGTTTCGCTTTTTTTAGAATAAAGTACCACGACTGTGATCTTAACGTAAATTTTGATTTATTCCAGCCGAGATTCGCAGCGTGTGATATTCAGACATGGCAATCACATGGCAGGAGCCAGCAGTACAAGCAGATATCCGTAAGTAGATATTGACGGTGTCAAAGTGAATACGAGTAGGTACTATCCAATCTTGACAGCTTTAAAATAACAATATTAAAGTAATGTCTGTAAACAAACAAAAGCCAAGCTTATCGAAAATATATTTAGCTTAAGAAAGGAATGGGGAAGGGACAAATTATTATCACACCGCTGAGAGGAATCACGAAAAATTTGCTTCATTGACTATTACACTTTTTTATTTATTTACTATGCAAACAATACACATTACAAGCTAAAAAGATACACGATAAAATCAAAAACAAATAAAAAATCTGGCTTGTAATATTTACTAGAGGTCCCACAGTAGTCGAAATTCGACTATAATTAATTGAAATTGTAAGTTTGTACACTATTATGATTCTATTTACAAAGACTATTATACTTCTATAATCACAGAATTTGCCAAAAAATAGAAAAATATTAATAAAGTCAAACAATATTTAATCTATACGCAATTTGACCACAGACGTCAAGATCAAAAGTTTGACATAAATTGTACGCATGCGTGTGTGCGTCAAATACATGGTAGTGTGTGTAATGATTTTTTTTATTGATTTGATATATTTTTTATGCATAATTAAAAAAAAATATTAACATTCTGCACTCCTTCTCTATATACTCTATAAGTGTGAGAAATTTCATACTCCTGCGTCCGCGCAATTTTCGTAAAAAGGGATACAAAGTTTTTCCTTCACGTATTAATATATAGATTATTTTATAATTTAAGGACTGGTATAAGCTCAATACAAAGTGAATGCGAACACATCGCATTATAAGACAAAATTGGAGTTTCTCTCAAAAAATGTTTTGTTGCCTTGTTCTTTAAAGGTTTATCGCTTATTATATCAGCAGAACAGAATTTAAGGAAATGTGTACATTTCAGAGATCACAAGCAAATGAAGCGGGTGCATTCTGGTAGCGAAGACGAACCCACACATTCAGGTAGACCTTTACTTGTATTATTAATGTTAAGAAATCCTATATCGTCTTTTCGCATTAAAACTGTACAATTCACAAAAATATTCGAAACTGATTCAATACGCGGAATCATTTGATATCACCAGTATTTTTCTCATAAATACTGTCAAAAGAGCGTTGTTTAGTTTTAGTTTTTTTTTTTTTAGTTTACCTATATTTTGACTACTACTAACAAAATTAATACATAATTTTATATTTCTTTAAAAGGCAAATAATGTAACTGGTAAAAAATAAAAAATAAATGTTGCATAAATGATTAATATTAAAAATATCACATGTTAAATCTTTAAAACACTCTCCTGTAAAATTAGTAAGTTTTGGGATTAAACAGATTTAATGCGAGAAGACGCTATGTCTGTCATTCTGATTATTAGCACCTGGTACCTTTAAGGCCTAAAAAGCTTCTTCGTCTCCTTCTAAAGCTAGCAACCGTAATTCTCTCTAGAGCTTAAGTGTGAATGGTTTGGCAAGACTCCGATAATTTACAGAGATAGTTTACCAATGCGTGTATTCGCAATGCATTTGAAACTTCTCGTCATTTGCCTATTTCAACTCTGGCCGATCCAGAATAAAATTGCCAGCTCATTTTACAATCATGATCTCAATTAGATCGAAAACCTCATGCGATTCCAGGCGAAGAAGACATAGCATTCATAGACGTAGCCTCTAACTCGATGGCGAAATTGCCAGAAAAAGGTATCCTGAAGAAGCACGGGTACGGAGCTGTGGATGGGAAGGACAAATGGGGAGACGACTCGCAGTCGGAGCAGCTCGAGGCTGGCTCGCAGTCCGATGGGCAGGAACCGGCAGGGGCTGTTGCCGATATGGAATACAAGTTTAAGGTGCCCATATTTTATTTTAATAATCCTTAAAATTATGAAATTGTTTGTCTTCGTCGTATGCATTACGTATTTTATATATTTATTGCTTAGATGGGTGGGCGAGCCCACCGCCCACCTGGTGCTAAGTGGTTACTGGAGCATGAGCTCCATATCTATGGAGATATCTACAACGTAAATGCGCCACCCACCTTGAGATATAAGTTCTAAGGTCTCAAGTATAGTTACAATGGCTGCCCCACCCTTCAAACCGAAACGCATTACTGCTCCACGGCAGAAATAGGCAGGGCGGTGGTACCTACCCGCGCGGACTCACAAGAGGTCCTACCACCAGTAAACCTATAATTATATATTCCTCACTGTATTCGGTACAAGCTGGTTACTGTGGATCGCACGACATTACAGGATCTGAACGGCTACCACGAGAACANTAGTTACAATGGCTGCCCCACCCTTCAAACCGAAACGCATTACTGCTCCACGGCAGAAATAGGCAGGGCGGTGGTACCTACCCGCGCGGACTCACAAGAGGTCCTACCACCAGTAAACCTATAATTATATATTCCTCACTGTATTCGGTACAAGCTGGTTACTGTGGATCGCACGACATTACAGGATCTGAACGGCTACCACGAGAACATAATAGTGGCCTTGAAGACGGCCGCGGCGCAACGTGCGAGCGCTGCAGGAGGCTCTGGTGATCTTCGCTCCCTCCAGGACTACGAGTACAAGGAGCGGAGGGAACGAGCCCCTAGCGCAGAGAAGATCCACGACGCGGAACTGCGAAGACAGCGCCCCGACGACGAAGAGGACGACGCTCCACAGTGCGCCCCCATCAGAATCAGGAACCTGGAGGACTTGATACGGCAACTAGAGCACCACTCGAGCAGACACATGAGCCCGTCCGGCTCTGAAGATATAAGGATGTCGGAGACGGAAGCCGATCGACACTACAGGATCGAGCCTGGAGAGATCCCACCGTGAGTGTCATTTCATATTTAATTTTTAAATAGTCCTCTAACATTAATTCTTTGCTTGTTCTTTGAAATGAAGTGTTTTAATAGAGTATAAATAGTTAAATATTGGCCAGATTTTTTTTTCTCTTACCTATGCTGATAACCTTGAGAGGCTATATCAGCTTCGCATTAGCGTGTAGGTGAGCTCACGGTACTCAAACCGGAGTGGTGTTAACACTGGCCCAAGCAAGAGCAGTGCTTCGCAGAATCTACAACCAAATCGGAAACGCGACCCACTGAGAAGATCCGGCGAGAAACTCAGTGGGCTGTGTCTATAGGTTAGTTCGCTCGTCGAGCCCTTCGTCGCAAGCGACGGGTTCGACGAGGACGGTGACCGGTACTTGTAGTACCTAAAAGGTATTCGGTCTACAGGATCGATGGCTAGAAAGTTCTTAAGCGGCGACCGCGTACCGGAAGACGTGGTAGGCCTCCCACAAGATGAACCGACGATCTCTCGGGGTTCGTGGGGATCCGCAGGACTGGTCTTTGTGACGAGGCTTGGGGGAGGCCCTATGTCCAGCAGTGGACGTCCGTAAGCTGATCTATACTAATATTATAAAGCTGAAAAGTTTGTTTGTTTGAACGCGCTATTCTCAAGAACCACTGGTCCGATTTGAAAAATTCTTTCAGTATTAGATGGCCCATTTATCGAGGAAGGCTATAGGTTATATTACATTACGGTAAGACTAAGCGGAGCGCCAATAAAGAATGTTTCAAAATTCTATTAACATTCTATAACTCAAAAATATTTACACTTTCTACGTAAATGAAGTAGGGGTACAATTTAGCGTTATGCCAAAGTAACTATTCCACGCGGACGGAGTCGCGGGCAAAAGCTAGTAAGAAGAATAAATAGTTGTAATTTCAAACACCCCACTAGTCGATGTCGCGGCCGCATCCCCGGCGAAGAGGAGGCTCACTTCTCGTACCGTTACCGCGGCGGGTCTGGCCGGCACCACAGCGCGATGTTCGGCGCCGGCCCGCCCCCCGCGCCGCGCCTGCCCCCCGACGAGGACGCGCTCTACGAGACGGCCGACGCCGAGCGACTCCGCGACGCACCAGACAGCGAAAGGTGAGACACACGAATTTCGCCCCCCCCCCTCGATTTTGGGCCAATATAAATTTCGATACACCTTATTGCACTTAACACAAACTATTTTTGTTTTTAAGAAATTTTATAACCTGGTAACTGAGACCTTTAAGCCATGTCTTATTTAAATTTATATTCTTATTTTTATGAAGAAATGAAGTGAAATGAAATGAAGATGATTAATTTGAGACATTAATCAACTGGGATGAAATTAAATGAAATGGGATGAAATATAATCTCAGTAAAATTGTGGTTATTTACTGAGATTTTTTCAGTGGACTTTTTGGTGGTTCCCGAGAAGTTACGTCCAGCTTCTTTGTTTCATTTTCCCACATTTGTGCACTTTCACAGATATCAAACAGTTAATAAACCACCATTATTACACATTTAAACCTGAAGAAACACTAAATAGACAAAATAAAACAAATCACACAACTTCACCACTCGCGTTCCCGCCAAAAAGTCCCTGCTTAACTAATATTTTACTGCATGCAACTGTAAACCGATAATGTTGACATATTAAAGAACAGTTGGCCCAAAGTCGAGATGACAGTTATGAATACAATTGTACCCAATTGGCAATAAATAAGACTAGGAACTCCCTCCATTCAAAATTTGTTAGGACAAACACAACACTGATACAACTATGGACATTATTCTTGGACATCAGTTTGACGTTTGCCTCAAATCAGTTTTATCTTTTTTGTCTTGGCGGTAAAATGAATGACAATCCAATTCTTTTTTTAAATTAGGTTTATCCACACCAGACTATCCATGTTACGTACTATAAGCTGATAGGTTGCCTGTAGTAGACAAGTCATAGTTGAGAACACATTTTATGATGTACATCCAACCCGAACCCAAGGTATCCATCCCATTATCCATCTCAATATCCATCAATATAAGATGGGCTTTAATTGTTCATTAATAGTGTAATGATGAAGATTTAAACAGAGCTTGTATATCTTAACAACTTATAATGAACGCACTCGCCTCTCCCGCCTCTCCTAAGTTGAGTTTTTGGCGGGGTCGCAACGAAAAAAATATTTTTTTATGTCCCCCTACCTATTCGCTGGTCGCCTGAGGACTATTCCAGGTAGTAGCTGAGCTCACGGGCTCAGCCTGAGAGAGTTTGCTAACAGTGGTCATTGCAAGAACAATGCTTGGCAGAATCTATCACCGATTCAGAGTCGCTCTTCTCACTGCCAAGACAACATATTTTTTATTAATCATTTAACTGATGTTCAAGAATGTAACATTTTTTATTATTTTTATACTGTATTTTGTTTCGTAAAATATCCAGTTTTTTGTATTTTCCTTGTTGTCTCGACCTAACACTGCAATTATAGAATGAATAATTTAAAGAATTACCTGTCGAGATATCTTGATGTTTTCAAGACATTTAAAAGCGAATCATAGATTTCCGACCTTAATTAATTAATAGTCATAAAATTACAATTAATGTATCTCTATTCTCGTGATACATTAATTGGCAGCCTGAATGGGATAGAACACTGATCACTAATACAATAAGTGATTAGTCCACGGTCGTGTGCATAATAAATATGTTATTGTTGTACCGATGCATTTTAGAGATTTGTTACATTTGGTTGATTATTTAAAATTCTGAGTTTGTTTCGTTAATTTTGTTTGTAAAAAAAAAAAATTTAAACACTACACACTGAACTAAACTCTCTGAGACTGGCTCCACGGTAGTAAATTAAGTAAATAATTGAGAACAAACAGATTCTCGGCTTCACGAATACAAAATAATGTTGTAAAATAATCTTGTAATTTCAAAAAGCCGTGGAGGCCAGCAACGAGACACCGCCTCGACTCTCCGTTCCTCTTCTCTATCATTTTCTAGTGATGAATTTATTCAAGCTCAACAACAGTTAGCCCCGTGGGCGAGTGAGGAGCGAGTGGGGCGGCCATCTCACCGCCGGGCCCCGTCCCCGCCCGACGAAGACTCCCCTGCCGCCTTCCCCGAGTACACACACTGACACATACGACACTCACCCTACCGATAGCTTAGCACTCCAGCTCACGCCTAGAGGCTCCCCACCAGGGCCATAGTGAACGTACGCGGAAACCGCCCGCCGCTTGTGAATACATAGTTGTCCTTAGCGAAACCAGTGAATTGTAAATATTGAATTAAATGCACTAAACGATATGACTGAAACGTAGTAATTGAATTTTAGAGTTAAACGTTATGTAAGTCGTTACGGTGTGTCGGCGTGGCGCCCGAGGAGGCTCCGGGCCACGTTAGGGCTCCGCCGTGTCGACACGGCTTATGAGTATAGTGAGTCTGTGGAAGGAGCTTCTCGGGCGTCACGACGCTGTGCGTTTAATGTTAAGACTCGTCGTTGTATGAAAGTAGCTTAAGATACAGTTGTACGGTGCCGAGGTCCTTTGAGACGTCGAGTTTGCTTACGTTCGACAACGGACGTGGGTCGAGTAGCTTGCAAATTAGATAGGCGAATAACAAATTGAACTAACGTAATCTTAAGCGGAGCTTTAATGTAACGTGTCCTAGTTCGAGGAGCCGGCCCGGTCACCACGAACGAACGAACGAACGAACTCGACGTCGCTCTAGGTCTCTCAATGTTCTATCGTAGTTGATGTTTCAATCGAACTCAGTTTAAGAGCCAGCGGTGCCTGAAATCGTTCAAGCGACAACGACTCGTTCGTATCGTACAAATTAACAATTTGACATTTGTAGTTTTGAAACTATTGGAATACGTAATTAATATAGGACACGGGCCGTTGCGTGTTGAATGCTACGACTCTAGCGGCCTAGACGAGAAGCGAGTCGGCCCTATTTTGGTCGGAACACTGCTGGCTCTTGACTCTGGCGTCGTATCAGTTGTCCACGTCCCGGTGACGTGATGACGTAGACACGGTGACGCGCCGCCCGAGGGGGGCGACCGGCAACCGTCCCGGAGAGTATCACCGTCGCATCACCTCTCCGAACGCGCGCCCCACTTCGCATTGTCAACAATGAACACCAATTTAGACGTTTCAGTTTTGTACGCTCTCCAACGGACCCTTTCTATTGAGTGATCTCGAACCACCGTGCACCGTTTACTCGATATAAACTAGCCGTTAAATACACATATTCTAAAACTAAATGTGAATAAAAGTTAATTCGATTCGTCAGAATATCTACGTATGTATTATTATTGTGTCGCTCTTAAAACGAATTTACGCCAAAGAACGTATGAAGGAGATGTAATGTATGTTAAATCTTAACGTGTTATAGTTTGCGTGTTTATTTTATTGTGACAGTTTTAGGATGTTATCGTTTACGCTAGGCTAGGTGGCGCGGCCACGAATCTAACACATATGTAGTTAATGCAGTTTAAATAAATGAANCTACGTATGTATTATTATTGTGTCGCTCTTAAAACGAATTTACGCCAAAGAACGTATGAAGGAGATGTAATGTATGTTAAATCTTAACGTGTTATAGTTTGCGTGTTTATTTTATTGTGACAGTTTTAGGATGTTATCGTTTACGCTAGGCTAGGTGGCGCGGCCACGAATCTAACACATATGTAGTTAATGCAGTTTAAATAAATGAACTGATGTGTGCGAGTGGCTCCTCGGTGACCGCTCGCTCCGGTAGTTCACTGGCGCTGCGGGGCCCAACGCCCTCCCGCATAATTACTCTCATAGATACTCGTTATTAAGTAAGTCTAAAATAGATACTATGAACACGTACAGGGTAGATGTGATTGCAATACTCTGTAACTGGGTGTCGCTCGCACTACGGAGATCTGTCCCGTCGTTTCATGGATCACGTACACCGTCGGTCTATGCCTCGATTCGGGCATCCAAAACGGGACGGTCTCTTAATCTCGTACAATGTGGTCACCCTGCACGCGTTTCGTTTGGTTCGCGGCGAGCGCTCGTCACCCAGAGGGCGTCACGTGCGCGCGTTCTGAACTATCAAACCGTCTGTGCGGTCGCAATGACCTTATGTCGAGGTCGTAAGGTCTGTTTTGGCACGTCGACACAGGCTCGGTTTGTTCGCGTAGGCCTAACACGTCAATTGCGAACGGCGCCGGACATCGCCATTGCTCACGGTAGTGCTCTGTAATTTATACGAATATTCGTAATTTTAGTATTTTCGTTTTAAGTTTTATCATTAAGTTTTGTAATTAATTGAACAATTACATAAGTGTAACATTAAAAATATGGCACAAAATTTTAACGTGTCCTAAACGTTTTGTATCGATGTAATAGGTATGTATGTATTTGAGACGTGAAAATAACTGCGTGTGAATGTATCTTTAAGAATTTCAATAATCATTGATTTACTCGTAGGAATATGTATAATAAAAAAACTCATCTAATATTATAAATGATGTTTAGAAAGAAAAATAATGTAGTCATGAAAGTCTTTCGAATCACAAGGTTGCGGAACTCGAGTCGGCTTTTCTAGAACTTTTCTTTTTTTCCTTCCTAAGATGATAGCCTTGAGAGGCTATATCAGCTTACCCTAGCGTGTGTAGGTGAGCTCACGGGGCTCAAATCGGAGAGTTGCGAACACTGACCCTAGCAAGAGCAGTGCTTCGCAGAATCTACCGCCGGATTGGAAACGCGACCCACTGAGAAGATCCGGCGAGAAACTCAGTGAGCTGTGTCTGTGGGTTTCTCTAGAACACGGCGGGATGTATCCGTGTGACTTTAGCGGATATATTTCACGAGCAAACCGATCATAAAGCATTACTAGTTCGGTCGCAAATCAATTCGAGGGGTGATAAGCTATTTGGTTTAAGCGACATTTCTCTTTGAAATTAAAGGTCCGTTTTATTTTGTATTAGCATCAACAGTTCGATGTTTTTAATTGAACTTCAATTAAGGTTACTCGAAGTAAATAGCTGAAGATTTTTTTATGCTACGATATTTTTTCCAAATTTTAATAATTAAATGGCTCTCTTGTAAAAATTTTTTTTATTGCTAGATCTGTGGACAAGCTCACAGCCCACCTGGTGTTAAGTGGTTACTGAAGCCCATAGACATCTACAACGCAAATGCCGCCACCCACATTGAGATATTAGTTCTAAGGTCTCAAGTATAGTTACAACGGCTGCCCCACCCTTCAAACCGAAACGCGTTACTAACCGGTTAAACCAATTAAGCCAATAATCCACCGGTTAAACCAATAATCGAAATTAAACCATAATCATTGACATCTTAAGATGTAGGGATCATCTAGATCTTAAGATGTAGCGAGATCATCTACATCTTAAAACAAACAAGCGTACGCTCATCTAATGGTGAGTAACCACAACTTTCCATGTACTCCAATAACTGCCTATAAACTCAAATAACAAATAACTCAAATAACAATACGGGCATATTCAAATAACTAACTGCCAAAATGGTCATAAAGTAAATAAAAAAAAACAAAATGTGTGCAATTCACACGTGGTAGAAGTGAAACCTTCCAAAATTAAAATACAATTATCCTAAACGTCTTAAGTATATGTAAAATTTTGTCATTAGTAAATAATTGTAAGGTAGCGCCCTCTGTGAATTGATATTTTAATTTCACGTATAATCCTAAATTAAAATTCACTACAAGAGCTTTCANATGTAAAATTTTGTCATTAGTAAATAATTGTAAGGTAGCGCCCTCTGTGAATTGATATTTTAATTTCACGTATAATCCTAAATTAAAATTCACTACAAGAGCTTTCATACACACGTTAGTATTAAAAAATCTCACAGATGGCGCTGTATTAAATTTAATAGTATGTATATTTCTGTCTCATTCTTTGCTGGCTTCATCCTACACATTTTTGTATTTGTGTCTCTTACCTGTCGTTTTTTCCGTTGCATCCGGTTTGAAATCACAACGATTCTAAAGAAGTTTTCACTTCAATATACAAACTTAACAAACAACAACTTTTCGTAGCTCTATATAATTTTCTTCCCCGGAGCGCTACTATTGGGGCCTGATTACTTTAATTACTTTATTTTCTTGCTTATTTGCTGGTAGCCTGTAACTATACTTGAGACCTTAGAACTTACACCTCAAGGTCGGTGGCGCATTTACGTCGTAGATGTCTATGGGCTCCACTAACCACTTAACACCAGGTGGGCTGTGAGCTCGTCCACCCAACTAAGCAATAAAAAAAACCTAAGAGGCTATTCCAGCTTGAGCTCACGTGCTCAACCTGAGACAGTTTGCTAATACTGGCCCTAGCAAAAGCAGTGCTTAGCTGAAGCTACTGAGTAGATCCCGCGAGAAACTCAGTAGACTGTGTCTATGGGTTCGTTCGCTCATCAAACTCTTCGACGACTTCGACAAGGATGATGACCGGTGCTTGAAGAGCCTATAAGCACTGAAAGTGGATTCGGGGGATTCGATAAGACATGTTTAGATAAGACATGACAACGCAAAGCCGACACGATAAGAGGGTTTTAATTACGTAATTACCGCGCAATGTATAAGAAGTAATGGATTGTGACCGTCTCTCCAAAATGAAGGATTACTTATTTCTTTGTGACTACGTTAACAATTTAACTAACTCTACTTTTAATAAAAGAAAAACATTTTAATTTAGAATCATTAAAATTTATTAAATAGAAATGTCTTATATGTTGTTTTTTAAATACACGAAAAATGTGTTCATTATATTTTAAATGTAATTGCAATATGTATTTTTAATTTTAAAAACACTGACAAAATCTATGTGTAATTAATACTAGTAACGTAATTATTTTAGATAGGATTATGAAATCGTTCAGTTTAAATGTAAAATAGATATATTTTCCTTTTTCATATTATTATTATTATAATAATATATAAAATTACGAAAATTCGTAAAATAAATGTCCACACTACCGAACTTACTGATTTAGGAATGTTATATTAAGTGATATTATTATGTAAAATAATAAAAAATAAAATAATAATGAATACGAATTTTAAAACGGAATAAACCATCGTACGAAGTTAATTATTATTTTACAATCATTTTTTGTTTTATTATCGTTTCGTTTTCAAACCTTGTAAATATTTGGCTATATGGTTTATCGAATGAATGTAACATATTATTATTAAATGAGGAAAATAGATGAACACACATTTTTTTTGCTGTTTTATTTACAACCTCGTATCTAAGCGCTCTCATCACACCATTGATGTCCTTCTGTCTCACAACAGAGAAACATATTATAATTTACAAACAAATTAAAATTTGCGTAATTACTGGTGGTAGGACCTCTTGTGAGTCCGCGCGGATAGGTACCACCACCTTGCCTATTTCTGCCGTGAAGCAGTAATGCGTTTCGGTTTGAAGGGCGGGGCAGCCGTTGTGACTATACTTGAGACCTTAGAATTTTTATCTCAAGGTGGATAGAAGGCTGGTGGTCGTGGCACCGACGACCACCAGTCCGGCTTTCCCCCCTTTGCCTTTTCATGAGTTCTGTCTCATGCGAGGTTTGGATGCTGGTTGTTGAGCGACAGGAGGTTTTAGTCGGTTCAACTCCGACATGCCCCGCCCTCCATCCCCAGTGAAGGGTGGAAGTCCGGTGATTTCCTCCTGACAAAAAAAAAAAAGGTGGGTGGCGCATTTACGTTGTAGATGTCTATTGGCTCCAGTAACCACTTAACACCAGGTGGGCTGTGAGCTCGTCCAACGTTACAATAACAGTTAAAGATAACATAAAATATAATCGAATGTTTCATTAGGGGAAGCCTTTTTCAATTACATAACAATGCTATTAAAATTTAAATCTGTTAAATAATATAAATTTAATGACCTACAAGATATTTATACGCGGGTAATATTCATAATTTCAATTCATTAAATTAATTTTTCCTATATCTTAAGTCTTAAGTCGTCGTGGCCTTAAAGATGAGACAACGGATGTACTATTATCGAGCTATAATTATGAGTGTGAATCCAGCAACGAATCTTTATATTTGTTGTCACCTTTGTCTGAATTGCATAGTAATTACCTACGCAAACTAAAATTTTTGTGGGCTTAATTTTTATTACACGTTTATACCTTCATCACAGAAACAATTCATATATAAGAATTACATACATCATTAATAAAATAAATTGGTTTCTGCTTTTTTTTCCTACCTATTCGCTGTTAGCCTACGAGGTTATTCCAGTTACGCCCGGACGGGCAGGTGAGCTCACGGGCTCAACCTGAGGGAATTTGCTAACACTGGCCCTAGCAAGAGCAGTGCTTCGCTGAATCTACCACGGGATCGGAATCGCGATCCATTGAGAGGATCCGGCAAGAAACTCAGTGAGCTGTGTCTGTGGGTGGTATCTGCCGCATCGCTCGATACGAATGCACCGGGCGTCATATCCTTTAGGCCACGACGACTTCAATAAACGATATGCAGAACATAAATAATGAGAACGGCGAGCTTCTTCAACCTGCTCATACATCAACAAGTAACCATTGGTTCCAGTTTCGACAAAGGTAACACAGTATTTTTTTTTTTTTTTAATAAATAAATAAATATTTACTAACAATCACGCCACGTTAACTGGTCCCGTGATAAGTTCGTAAAGAACTTGTGTTACAGGTACCAGATAACGGATATAAATGTAAGATTTTTATTATACACATACATATATTTAATATACATCCATAACCCTGGAAAAGACATTTATATCTATCATACATCATCATCAAATATCTTCCCTTGGCGGGATTCGAACCCGCGACCCCCTAGTGTAGTGACCATGTCAATTACCACTACACCAGACGGCCGTTTAATTATACCAACGCATTAAGAATTGAAATCTTGTATCTCAACGCAATTGTATTAAGGGTTCGTATCCTAGGATTCGATTAACCACGTAGCGGGCTCGGCTGTCAAAAGTAGGAAAAAATTACTACATAAATTTAATGATATACATTCATGTCTTCAATTGTAAAACCAAATGAAAATTTATTACTATTACAAGAAAACACATTTCCCTAGTATCGACTATAATTGAGTGCAGTATACGTAATATGTGTAGATAAACGACTTCTCCACAAAACTAGTAATACAGTAACAACAAAACTTTTCAAGAAATCACAAAAGTTAATTAAAGTTTGAAGGGAACTTAGATGAAAGAAGAAATTTTTGTTTACTTATAGCGAAAAATCTGTGCCCTCACTACGCTTCCTCCTGATCACAAAACGAGCGTAATCATCTTTTTCAGGATCAAATGCTTTGATCTTCTCGCAATGTCCAGCCGCAGCCGCCTCCTGGATTTGATCGGCAAACGCCTTAACATCATCTCGTTTTAGTTCTATCATGTATTTCCTGGACTCCATGATAACTACAGCATCATCACGCGCCATCGACCAGAGACTGGGCTTGATGCGCGGTACCATATTCTGTCCCACGAAGACCCCGTGGAACAGCCCTTGGAACTGAGGCTTATGGGGGTAATGATCTAAGGCGCTGACAGATAAGAAGTGAACTTTTCCATAGTCCACATCAATGTACGTCTCGCGGTCTTCTCGCAACACCAACGGAATCTCGGGTCCACACTCCGAAATCTTAGCGTCGAACTCACTCAATACAACCATACCCAAATTCCGTTCATTTTCGATTTCCATCTCGGCGACGTCAAATTTCTTGTGGTTTTCCATCTCATACATCATCCGCATAACATTACGTTCGCTGATGTCAGTCGAGCGCTTGTAGTTCACGCCATGGGTCGATTTCAGCATGTCTTTGTCCTCGCAATCGAGGCCCAAGCAAATATACGGGGATGTCACAAGATCACCCAAATAGCCTCTGTGAAGGTATCGGTCTCCGCATTTATAAACACCAGCCGCAAAAGTAAAGTTTGGTCGGCACACTTCAGTCTCCAACCACGTAAAGGCCACTCCGTGCTCTCTGAAATGCTTGTACTCTTGAAAGCATACAGCACTGGCGATCTCCTTCAGCCTCATATGATAGTCCCAATCGTAAACTCCATGTCTATTGTCATACCGCACTCCCAGGCTATTTCTAAGTCTGTATTCCCACAATTCACAGGCATTGTACTGATTAGTGTTTCCGGTCGTCCAGAAATTCATCAAGTTTTCCAAATAGTCCCTCTCTTTATATTTCATCTGTTCCAGGGATACACTAGGGAGTAGACAGCTCATGTAGTCAGGATTGGTGATCATACCGACCAACTGACGAGCTTTGGCCATTACATACCTCGAAGTTGGCGGCCGCAGGAGCAGATTCCCATATACCTCGAGATAACGCCTTGTTTTCTCCAGTAAACCACATCTCGTTGTCTTTTCTAACGCCAAAGACATAAGGAGCAGTTGCCTAGCTATCAACTCCGGGCATCCGTCGATCACAAAAAGATTCATGTACCTCCGGTTGTGCCGATAAGCTTGGGCCAGAGTTTTAAGCAGATGTCTTCCATCGCAGCCTCCAATAACGAGAAAATTTAGTTCGTACGCGTGCTCATCGCCGTATTTGAGATATTCTTGCTGTAGATCTAAGGCTGGACTCACACCCCAGAACATTCTTCCCTTCTTCTCAAACTTCTTGCACTGTATTTATCAGTATGTTTATAGTATCGCGTTCAACGATATAATGATTGTCAATGTCATGGAAACGAGATGGCCGTGGCTAGGGAGTTGCCAGGCAACGGCTAATAATAATATTATCTTTGATTATATCATTACACACGAGATGCAAAAAGCCGACTAACATTTATTAATACCGGAGATGGTTCAAAAAGTTGATGAAGCGTTAATAACCGGCTGTATCGATTAACTGCTCATGTTCGTTTACTGTAAAGCCAATATTGATCTTGACTTTGTATTTATAGCCTTTCTCGTTAGAGACTTCATCTGGGATCTTCTCAATTTAACATACTTGTGTATTTACTATGAATATATGTAGAAACAAATTTATAGAAGCCAATAAGCACATGTTTTTCTTTTTCTTTCTTCTACTTTCACTTTTATACTTCTTTTCTTTTCTTTTTATCACCTCATCTCTGACTACCTCCAAATATGTTCAAATCTTTACACCTAAACGCGGTAGTAGTAACCGCCCCACCATACATAAATTATAATCAATTGTAGTAAAAGTATTAGCCATAAAAACACTAATACCTTAGTCATAATTGTTAATTTACTAACATAAAGGTTAAAAATTTATGTTCATGTTTTACCCTCGAAAAAAACCTGAAAGGCCAATATTAGAGAAGTAACATCTAATTTCAACTTAACAAATATAGTTTAGATTTATAAAAATTAAATTAATTTCAACTTTCAATATATTTGTGTGGACGAATGTGGCATGTGACCAAACAATTTTTATTACCAATCCGTAAATGAGGTTTTTCTCAATTGTTCTTTTTTAATTGCCTTTATAGGCATTTGTATAGGCACGTCAGAGGCATAACCAAGACGCTATCTATTGAAACATTCTTTCCTATTACTAACTGCTGAGACTTATTTAAACATTTAAGTACTAACTATGATATAGATTATATATAGATAGATTATATATAGATGATATAGATATCTATGATATAGATTTTTATTTAATTTTTTTTTTCCATAGTTGGGTGAACGAGCTCACAGCCCATTGTTAAGTGGTTGACGAAGCCCATAAACATCTACAACGTACCTAAATGCCGCCAACCATCTTGAGATATGAGTTCTAAGGTCTCAGTATAGTACAACAGCTGCCCCACCCTGCAAACCGAAAGGCATTACTGCTTCACGGCAGAAATAGGCGGGGTGGTACCTACCCATGCGAACTCACAAGAAGTGCTACCATCTGTAATTACACAAATTATAATTTCGCGGATTTGATTTTTATTACACGATGTTATTCCTTCACCGTCGAAATCAATCGTGAACATTTGTTAAGTACGTATTTCATTAGCAAAATTTTGGTACCCGCCTGCGGGATTCGAATACCGTTGCATCGCCCGACACGAATGCACCAGACGCTTTATGCTTTAGGCGACGACGACTTAAATACTTATGTAGTGTATTGGCTAGCTAATATTATTATATCCAAATAAAGTATGTCGTGGATAACGACTTTTAGTAATATAAAGACGGTGGTTTTGACTATTATTTTGAACTAGCGACCCGCCCTCGCTTCGCTTCGGAAACATTAAAACACACATGAAACCAAAAAAAAATATTAAAAAAAAATTAAAAAAGTAGCCTATGTTCATCAGGGACAATGTCGGTTTCTAATGGAAAAAGAATTTTTCAAATCGGTCCAGTAGTTTCGGAGCCTATTCGAAACAAACAAACAAACAAATCTTTCCTCTTTATAATATTAGTATAGATGATGAAATGTTGTTTTGATAAATATCACAAAAATGTGGGGTAGACTCCGTAACGCCACAGTATAAAATGGCGGTACGTGGACAGAGTCGTGGCTTTAGCTCTCAGACACAGCCCACTGAGTTTCTCGCCGGATCTTCTCAGTGGGTCGCGTTTCCGATCCGGTGGTAGATTCTGCAAAGCACGGCTCTTGCTAGGGTTCGTGTTAGCAAGTCATCAGGTTTGAGCCCCGTGAGCTCACCTACTAGTTAGGGTTACGCTGGAATAGCCTCTCAAGGCTACCAGCTTAGGTAGGAAAAAAAAAAAAAAAAAAAATTACATGATTTTGACCCCCTTCAATACGTCGGTTTAACTCGAAATTTGGTATACTTATTAAGGAGCTGAGTCACATGAAACACGTGTCCAGTATTGCATTATTGGGCCTTAAAGATAAGGGAATATAGCAGTAGTAGCTACTAGTAACCTTGATCGTACTGTTGTTTATGTAGGGTAACTTATATAATTATATAACTTGACTTGATAGCTTGTATAACATAGCTTGTATAGATCCGTCGGTATCTAACTGGTTTGAAATTCTGTGAGCGATAAAAGTGATAATGAATATGATTAAAACAAATTGTACTATGTCATTTTTATATTACTTTTGAAGAGCTTTCGTGTTCACAAGCTTTGTANAGTCGTTTGTTTTGTGTCTCGTTAATTTGTTAATAATCTGTAGTGTATCGTGTTGTCGTAATATAGAACTATTTCTCGTATTGTTTCGTTTAATTTACCGACATCGTTTTGCTTGTGGCCGGACGCCGTTCGGGTTCGATTCCTGAACGTATCAACTGTTAGTGGGTTGATACCCGAATATAACCCGCTACAAATCATTTATTAATAAAGCTTATTAAATATAAACAATTCCTTCTATCAGTGAATGGACAACTTATATATTAATTGTAAAAGTGAATTATATAGACTTACTTAATTACCGCATCCACGTGTTCCGCAACTCCCGGATCATTCTCACTAGAATACGTAACTTCCATATTTTACTGTATTCAACTGACACAAATTTATATTTATATCCAGTAAACTCCAGTCGTGCGTCGGAGCGGACACACACACTTTTTTTTTTACTATCGCACCGCCCGCAACCGAACTAGAGTTCATCTATACTACCTGCAGCCACTGCTTTCATCCACACTGCGTTTCCAGAGATCTTATTTGCCGTACCATCCGGCTTTGAAATGAGCTCGCCTCCATGATGTTGCCCGAATTCTATGACATGTCCTTCTTCAAACGAGGCTTGTGGAGAGTCAATGAGAGACGCCCCTACTTAACCCGCAGTGTGCACTTATCCCAATATAAAATCCCGTGATTTGCGAGTTCGTTGCTGCGTCAAAAGGGCTATAAAATTTATAATTTAAAGTATCGCATCTTTGTATTTTCCGTTGTATTATTGACTAAACGGACGTACGTGCTCCCATCACACCTGGTGTTAAGTGGCAAACAAAGCACATAGGTAGACATCACAACGTGAATGCGGCCATTCTTCTTGAGACATGAGGTATGAGTCTCAATTGTACAGCCGCTGTTCCTATCTTAAAACTAGAACGCATCACTGCTTCGTAGGAACACCATGAAGAAAATCTTAGTAATGTTTATACTGTGAATAAATACTGTTCTTATTATTAGTATAGAAATATATTTAATAGGAAGGAATCGGAAGGCTTATTAACCGAATCCCCTCCCATATCTGGATCGTTCATACGTCTCGTCTAACGGTGAGTGGAAATCAAACACATTACCACCGAGGGGAGAAAGGCTGTTGGTTTTAAGCGACATTTGTAATTAAAGATGCGTTTTATTTGGTACTAGTTGACCCGGCAGACTTCGTAGTGCCTTAATCGATAAATAAAAGACCTAAACTTTTGTATAAAATAAACTTAAAACAAACAAAAGGAATCGGTCCGACGGGGGACACTTCAAATAAATTGTTAAACTGTTATTTTTATTTCACTCCGAGCATTTTAATATTTACCTACCTTTTAAACCTTCTCTGGACTTCCACAAATAATTCAAGACCAAAATTAGCCAAATCTGTTCAGCCGTTTTCGAGTTTTAGCGAGACTAACGAACAGCAATTCATTTTTATATATAGAAATTAGTATCAATAATTTGTTGTTTGTAATTAAAATTCAATAAGTTTATCCCATTCAAATAACTGAAGAAGTTTTTTGTTGTGATATTTTTGTCCAAATTTTAAGCTTTAAATGCGAACCTGTAAAATTGGAAAAATGTCGCTTTAAATAGACTTTCACTCCTCGACATAATATATGTAATTGTTTTAAAGCCCCGAAACACTGAGGAATGCAGTCGTATCGTTTCACGTTAAAAATAAAAATAAACTTCATTTTTACATTATAATAAAATTAATTACTGAACACAGAATAAATTATAAACAGACTAGACACAAAAGTTAATCGAGCTTAAAAGTTTCGAAAACGCTTCGTTGAAGACCCCGGGAGCTTTTTTCTTTGCCGAATTCGATAAAATATCCGATATTTAGGCAGAGTTCTGCGGCTTTCGACCGGTATTCAACAAAATCCACAGTTTCTTATTAATCATCATAAAGTTCGGTCTTCGTCAAGAGAACCTTGAGTCGTCACTAGAAGACATAGACCTGGGCTTGGTCTCTTTGGATTGCGCAGGTACACTTGTGTTCCCTACCCTGGAACCAGGGTTTCCACCGGTACTCCTATTCGTATACGTCGAAGACGTGACCGGAACCTTGCGCGTCTGCTTGATCTTCAACTTGTTCAACCACAGATCCCTGGTCTTCTTATTGCCCGGGACAAAGAAGAGGAACAGCACGAAACCTTGAAAGGTCGCGGTCAAGTTGAACAAGTACACCGTGACGATGTTGTTCAGGAACAAACCGAAGACCCACGGCAGACCGAACAAGAAGACCAGGAGACAGGAGACGGACGCACAACGGAGCGCCTCGTTCGAGTCCCCGTGCCTCTGGATCCTTCGGGAAGCGAACACGGAGCGCACTATCAGGAGGAATAGCGTCCAGTTCACCAGCAGCATCACGGCGATGGGAGCGTACACCGTCAGCCACAACGACAGCCCCGAGGGATAGCAGAAGGCCCCGCTGCGAACGTCTCCGTCGAATTGTCCCGCGTATGAGTGCGGAGCGACCGAGAGAAGCACGCCGACCACGGCACACGGAGCTCCCCACGAAAATGCGGACGCCTTCAGCAGCTTGTGCGAAGCGTCTCTGGAGAACACTATCACCAGCTTCCTATACGAAATGATAGCTGCGACCAGCATCCAACAGAAGGACGCCAAGACAGCGTAGTGCAACAAAACCCCGACCAGCATGCAAGCGATGTTGTACTCCAGGAAGTCAGCGAACACGATGACGAGGAAGCAGACGCTGGTTATGAATATAGCGAGGCAGAGCTGCAGCCAGATTTTGTTGGTGAAATCCCGGCGCCAGGACCTGAAGAGGATCGCGGTGATGGCGACCAAGACCAGCCCTAAAATGGAGACACAGCAGCCGATCACAGAGATCAGCTCGAGAGCGTTTTCGTGGGCGTCAGAGAAGGACGTCCTAGGTATCAGAATCTCAGCGAAGTGTGTCAGATGAGTGCATCGGCAGTAATCCAGCATCCCTTCATCTTCAGAGCGCATCAGAACACATCCGTCCTGTGACCAGTACCCTGTTCCGTCCTCTAGGAACTCCCAGTACGCGCAAACTCGCTTTTGCTTGCTCCCCGGCAGTTCCACTATTGGATTCAGATAAATGTCGATAAACTGGAACAAACGACAGTCATTTGTTGGACGTTTGATAGCACTGCACCCGATGGAGTCTCCCAGGATCATGAGACTCTTGCTTTTAACATTAACATCATCAGTAAAATTACAATCATACTTCAAAGTTCATTAACAGAAGGGTTGTTAAACCGACTCAATAATCTCTTTTTTATTGCTTATTTGGGTCGACGAGCTCACGGCCCACCTGGTGTTAAGTGGTTACCAAAACCCATAGTCATCTACAACGTAAATATCGCCACGTACCTTGAGACACGAGTTCTAAGCTCTCAGTATAGTTACAACGGCTGCCCCACCCTTCAATTCGAAACGCATTACTGCTTCACGGCAGAAATAAGCAGGGCGGTGGTACCTACCCGTTCGGACTCACAAAACGCCCTACCAACAGTAAAGATCTAAGGACCCTGAAGATATACCAGGACGTGCGACATTACTGAAGATGTTTGGCCTTAAGGAGTCCCTTAGAAAATGGATGCAACCGACTGGTTTAAACTTGCATATGACTAAGACGGTGCCTAAAGTTGGAATCTTAAAGTATGGCAAGTCACAATAAAATCACACAGCGATGGATATACAATGGTGGTTTATGAAGCATGTGAAACATACCTCCTCGTCTTGAAACCGCGTCAGATTCCCTATTTTGATGCTGACGACTCTGCTGTTCACGGAATATTCGGACCCTGGATTTCTGAAGGCGCGGTCAGTTCTGAACACCACGAAGCTGACCCTCCTATTGGAAACGGACACCGACCCCGGTATCTTGACCACAACATCACTGAGCTCCGGTTGGAGTAAGCTTGAGTTTATTTCATCTAAAAATACAAAGCTTATTAACTACAATGTGTGGACCCCCCGCAACGTTAATTATTTTAAAAGGTTTTCAGGTACACCGCGGTATCATTATCGCTGCCTATTTTTAGACATAATATCTGAATTTCATTTGCATTGGCAAGAATATCCGAACTAAGAACTTCACGTAAGAACAAACATTTAAACTGTATGCTTGTAGGCGAACATGAGCTGATAGAACCGAGATTTTAAGCGGAGGCCCTACATCATCGCACACATCCTCCATCCTTCCCTACTACATCAATTGCCATTAAAAGGTATGCAGGATTAACGGCGCCACTGTGAAAAACAGAAAAATACAATTGCTATTATTTCGACCTTCCAAAATTACTTCAAGTGTCAGTAAGAAGACAACAATCGGCTCACGTTGACGCTACTAAAATCTGCCAGTAAAAACTCTACCAAGTCAATTTACCGACACCACCGCTCGGAGCGAGTAACAAGCACAAAACGAGGGTTCATGTAGTGATGCTCAAAAGTCAATCTTGCCCTCACCTCTGATAACCTCAAAGGCATGATCCGTAAAAGCATCAGTCTCTCTGGTGGCTAACCTCAAGCCTCTCATCGGGAGGCTCTCGTCGCCCTTAGCGACCACAAGGGCGATGTTCTCCCTAACTGTCGCTGCATCTGATCCGTCTAAATTTAGTCTAGGACCAATATTGTCCAGTAAATGCAGAAGTTCACCAGGTATATCCAGATCGTCGTCCTCGGATAATAGACCGTCTACCTGTAAATTTATGATGTTTTATAATCTAAATGTGAAGGCATTGTTCATGAGTGCCCAAGTATTAGAGCATGACTTTGGATAAAGCAAAATACATAAGATTAGGTACAGTAGAAATAAATGAACCTATCAAAGATCAATAGAATATTGAATATTGAATCATTGCACCAGCCCCAATCCCGGTTTTATAGAGTTAAGATTAACAACAAAATTACCTGATCAAACGAACTGCTAATAGTTTCCAGGGAGACTGCCAACGATGCGTTATTGATGATGGATTCTAGATTTTCCATTACTTGTAGAAGCTGGTCTTCTGGCTGTAAATGAAATGAGTTTTATCGATTTACTAGCTAAATACGGCTTGCTGTTATTATTTTTTCTACACGAGAAAATGACCGGATTCCCACCCGCCACGCGGGAGTATGTGGAAGTTGAACCTCACTAAAAACTTCTGCTCACAGCCGGCGTCCAGAGATGGAGGAACAGGGTTGACGGAGAGCTTATTACAGCCATCCCGCCGTCCCCAAGACGCTGGACCGTTGGCCGCTGGCAGAACGACCACTGGTTCCCTCGGTATATAACATAGAATAACAGATGTGGTAGCAACCCGTGTGGGCTTCACCAGATCTCCTACCACCAATACAAAAAACTGCCAACCTCATTCCTTTTTTATCTTTACTTTAATCATGTGAGCTAACAACAGAACAGTTTCTATACGTACCGAGGGTCTGGGCATTGTGGTTGGGGGCATGGTAGGTACGGCTGTGATGACGTCAGTGGGGGTCGTTACGGTGATGACGGGGTCCGTTGGCGGAGGCGGAGGCCGAGTCGGCCTCCGAGTGGTTTCGGTGATCTCCTCGGAGCTGTCGCGTACATCGCGTAGTACGGGATCATTTGTCTACAGATTATCATCATACATACAAGTTACTTGAACAGATAACAATAAATAATAGTTTAAAAAAACAACTAAAAACATACGCTTTTATAGAAAATCCAACGAAAAAATAGAAAATAAATTTTAATAAATTTGAATTAAATATAGTGTAAGAAAAAATGATTTTATTGTAAAAAAGCATGGAATCAGTAGTTATAAATATTTTATGAACAGATATGAGTAGAAGGGTTATTTTGATAATATCTTTTGGTGCTTTTCAGGATTATTTTTTTATTACTATTTTTTTATTTTTTAATAACTATTATTTATTTTTTAGTTAAATTTCAACTTTTTCAATATATTTTTTAAATATTGAATTGTCCTCGGTACTTAATAAGTATGCTAAATTTCGAGTTAATCCGACGTTTTAAAGGGGCTCAAAATCATGTTCAAAGATTCCGTTACATACTAACATACATACGTCTGAACTGAAACTAATAAAAGCGTATTAAAAAAAACGGAGAGATATTGCAGAGCGGAAGCGCAATGTAAGCGGAAAATCATTTTCGATAATTTACATTACATTGCTGTTTTTCAACAAGTACTTACAGCGGTTTGTGTTTCGATTGTCGTCTGTGTGTATCCCACGGCGGGAGTCGTGGATTCCGTATCCAGAACCCCAAACTAAAATTAGTTAAGTGTTTTAATAAATAATGAATTGATAACAATTAAAAATGTCGCACGCCAAGCGGAGAGGAGATGATCGTGTCTTAGTGATTACTGGAGCCCATATACATCTACAACGTGAATGCGCCACCCATCTTGAGATATAAGTTCTAAGGTCTCAAGTATAGTTACGACGGCTGCCCCACCCTTCAAACCGAAACGCGTTACTCCTTCACGGCAGAAATAAGCAGGGCGGTGGTACCCACCCGCGCGGACTCACAAGAGGTCCTACCACCAGTAAACCCTTCAGACCGAAACGCATTGGTGCATTAAGGTCACGACCCTCAATACTGAGGAACAGGTATACAAGAACAAGGTAGTACCGTGTGGTCGGGTAGTAAGTTCGCAACGGTCGGCATCAGCTGCGTGACCTCTTTGACCTTGAGCGCGTTGGACAGGGTCACCGGGAGCCTCATCTCGCAATCGCTAGTCGTGGTCAGAAGCCACTGCACGCCCTCGTTGTAATCTCCCACGCATTTCCTCGTCTGACATCTTGTGTTCGATATCGATTCACCTAGAACCAATAGTGGTGATAGATGCAATAATCTATACTAATAACATATAAATAATTGGTTAGGTGGTTTTACGGATGTTCCGTTATAACTACTGAACCATGCATCCGATTGACTTGAAACTTGGTATCCATGTAGAAAATACATGTACTTAATGGATAGGCTAATGTTTATATGAGTGTTGGACTCCCTACACCAGTTGCGGGGGCGTTAATGATGAGAATCTTAGTGAGGGTGAGAAATAATAACGTTAACTTTAAATGCCCAGCGAAGCGGACGGGCAAAGCCAGTAAGCAATAAAAAAAAAATACATTGATGGGTGCACGAGCTCACAGCCCACTTGGTGTTAAGTGGAGCCCATAGCCATCTACAAACGCCGCCACCCCCCTTGAGATATGAGTTCTAAAGTCTCTGTATAGTTCGTTACAACGGCTGCCCCACCCTTCAAACCTAAACGCATTAACTGCTTCACGGCAGAAATAGGCAGGATGGTGGTACCTACCCGCGCGGATTAACAAGAGGTCCTACTACCAGTAATTACGCAAATGATAATTTTGCGGGTTTGATTTTTATTACACGATGTTATTATTCCTTCACCGTGGAAGTCAATCGTGAACATTTGTTGAGTACGTATTTCATTAGAAAAATTGGTACCCGCCTGCGGGATTCGAACACCGGTGCATCGCTCAACACGAATGCACCGGACGTCTTATCGTTTAGGCCACGACGACGAAACGAAACGTTCTGCAGACCGTTAGTCGTGGGTTCGATTCCAATTTCCACATTCATGTGACGACAGTTCTTTGTCGGGCAATTGAATATCTAAATTTTATATTTATTATATATTAAAACATACATACATATATAATTTATGGAAGATCCCAAAATACAGAGAATCCTAGTTTAAGATCACATGACCGTGTGCGATTTCTCGTTAATAATTTATTTATTTCTAAATTTCTCATAGTAGTGCGTAAGACTGTATTGGTATTGTATTGGTCATAATGTCTATTTGGACTACAAAGTAATGCCGTGTTTGAAAACTAAATCCACTGCTGTCCTACACAATTGAGACTCCGACCTCATGCCTCAAGCAGCGAGAACTCATCTGCCAATATAAACAGTAAAAAAAAGCATTATCCTTATACAGAACGACGTCTTGGAACAATTAACCAAGTTATTGTTGTCGTTTCAAATTAAAATTACATTTGTCATTGACATTAATAATGACAATTATAATGTAATAACTACAGTCACGAAACTGTTAGCACATTATCAACTTTTGCACCTAGCCAACATCTATATAGGTCGTAAATTCGAACTGTTTTAGTCGATTTGGATCAACAAACCATTTACAAATGTCATTATTATATAGCTTTGTCTTCGAAAGCATATATCCCAGCTGATGATGAGAGTACTTTGTCGTACCTACCCACCTACTGTACAGAATTTGTCTCGATTCTTCAAGAATATTCTTAGGTTCCTGTACGGGCTAGCGCAGACATCCGGCTCGAAGAACCAAAAAAGGGATGTACGGTTTGTCCATACAACCCTCTGTAGTTATAATGATAATAACTCCAATATTGAGTAATTGTTTATTGATATGCTTACACTGATTGGTGATTGTTTATATGGTAAAAATGACATTATGCGAGTACGCGACGCCTTGCTGATGGCGGTACACGAACTGAGTGGAAAATGAATGACTTTGATATAAAATGCATCGTATGCAATATGATGTGCGCGCTGGCCCGTACGGTTCCAATATCCATTTCATAAACCCATCACCAAACCAGACTCACGGTACCATATCCACAGCAGAACAACACAACCCTCAGCTCCACTTTCAAAGATAATCCTATCCGTTTTTTAGTGTGGAGTAAATCATTACTAGAGAGAAGCCGTCATCTCAATTTTACCTTCGCATCGTCCGTCATAAGAGCAGAGTTAATTTCAACTACCAAGAATACCAACTACCAAGAACCATAAGTATTTCTATAGATAAGACATAAAATTATAATTTGGTTAATTACTGGTGGTAGAACGTCTTGTGAGACCGCACGGGTAAATACCACTGTTGTACTCTAAAAACGGAGACCTTAGAACTCATATCTCAAGGTGAAGGCGGCATTTACGTTGTACATGTCTATGGACTCTGTTAACCACTTAACAGTCTTAACACCAAGGGGGCGAGAGCTCGTTCACCCATCTAATCAATAAATAAATAAATAAGCCTTCGGTAACGTTGGGGCTTAATGTCCATAAGCAACAGTAGCCGCTTATCAGTAAATATGCCGTAATTCACCTGCCCTTGATGGAAACAACAACTTATGACAAACTCTTTTCGTCTACACGTCCAATAACACGCTCAGAGGTCAGCTGTGTTAATTGCAATTTGAATGATTCACACTCAAGATATGAACTCGAGTATTACAGAACTGCTAATAACATAGAATCATATATACGAGAGATATACGAGTATTTTACTAGTGGTAGGACCTCCAGTGAGTCCTCGCGCGTAGGCACCACCACCCTGCCTATTTCTGCCGTGAAGCGGTAATGCGTTTAGATTTAAAGGTTGGGCAACCCGTTGTAGCTATACTGAGACCTTAGAACTCATATCTCAAGGTGAACGAGCTCACAGCAAACCTGGTGTTAAGTGGTCAGGTGACCCCATAAACATCTACAACTTAAATGCCATTAACCTCCTTGAGATATGAGTTCTAAGGTCTTATTAATACAACGGCTGCCCCACCCTTTAAGCCGGAACGCATTATAGCTTCACGGCAGAAATACAGCGGTAGTACCTACTCGTGTGGACTCACAAAAGGTCCTACCACAAGTTTAAATCTCACCAGTCGTCATATGCAAGTATGATAATTTTTTAAATAGACCGTAACACTTACCTAAGTGCTTCGCTTCGCCGCTTTCCAAGCTCTCGTCAGGGCAGTAGTACACGGGCTTCATAAAAACTAATTCAAGCCCTTTCCAGGTCCCAGGGCGGACGGGTCTCATGCTGGAATCGAGTTCGAAGTGAACCAACAACGCTCTACCACCAACGAACCACTTCTTTAGCCTAGCGTTGGACAGCACTTCTCTTACACCGACCGAAGGTGTTGTCAATTCAAAACTCCTCAGTTGATCCTCCGTTGCCGCATCGTTCCCATGAACATTAAAATACTTGGTCGATAAGTATATGTACTCTTCCAGCTTTTCTAGTGCCTTGTAAATTTTTTCAGGATCTGTATAAGACTGTAGATGAAGTTTGACGGCGTACACGTGGTCCAAGGAGTTCTTCTTTGGTATGTGCAAAACCTTATTGGATTGCGAGATCGTGTAGCTCTTGGAATCCGTGTGAATACACCAATAGTAACCGTTCTTCTTTTCCTGAACCACGTAAGTGTTTTCTTCGTCGTGGTCCAAGTCCACTGGAGTGGGGTAGTACTTCACTGAGTCGGTGAAGCACTTCAAATACCTTCTCGGTACTGGCTCGCTTACGTTTAAAATGAGTCTGTCATCGCTGAAAAATGAATGAATGATAATTGACGTATGTTGGTACACATTTATTTCACTTCACAGTAACTGTTGTTACAGATAGCTTGAATGTAAGATAACCAATTCTAATTTACGACTAGTTACAAGTTCCCAAAAATAATAGCATTATGATTCCAATGCAGTTAAAGGTTCAGTCTTGGTTCTCAGTGTCGATATAATGTGACAATTGGCTAGATTTTTCATATATTTTTTTATAATACTATTTTACAAAATCAGATCTTATCAGTGACCTGATATCACAGACATCGGATACGAAAACATGCCTTAAAGCATGTGGTCGAAAGTTATATACTATACACCATGCACCTGCCCCGAAATGCTGCTTTGTTGCAAATACAGGCAGGATTGTAGCTTAGTCCGTCTGCTGAAAAATTACGTGCAAAGAAGAAACAGGAGCAGGGTGGATATGAAAAATAGAACATTTGGAAAAGCTACTACAGACGCAGTATAAGGCTCCTACAGATAAATTAAAAGGTCGCAACATTGCTTCTTTTGACAACCTCTGACCTTTTACTACTGACCACTTGTCGTCCACACTCGACCCTGTTTGGTAGTGCTATAAGGTTTCAATTGGCACATCAGTACAAGGTTGTTGCCCTACTTCAATTAAAAATTGAAGATGGGACATTGATACTTTTGAGTGGATAACTAATGCGGATATTTCAAAAAGGCTAATATCTCACTAATAACGGGGCAGACAACTTTTAGGGGGGAACCTCATCAGATGATATGAAAAAAAATACTTACGAATCGATTGTAAGATTCAATACAACATCCTTCACTGGTACGGATACCTCACATATCACGGCATAGAACACAAATGAACTGTTCACGGAGAACCACATATTATTCCCCACAGCACTTAAACGAGTTTTATTGGTTTGAGGCAATTCTGAAAATTTCCATTCCGATCTTGGTATCTGAAAATGTTATTTGAATACCTGAATTGAAAGACAGCAAATCTGCGGAGTATTAATTTTAGCCAAAAAGTCTAAATTTATACAATGACGCTGTTTTTGAAATTTGCCATTTAATTTTGGCCTCAATGACCAATTGAAAACTATTGTTTTAAATCTCTAAAAGGTTTCATGAAACCATTCACGTATTATTATGGCTGGTTTTTCTGTTTTTTTACATCATCGGGAGTGTTGTATTAATTAGCCAGGAAAAATCCGGCAACCATTGTAAAATGCTTTGCTTTATTCGAAGAAAAGCTAATTTTCATTGGACCCTGCAATCGTCTCAATTAAAATTGGATTTAAGTACATTATTATAATATAATACGTATATCCATTTTTATATCCGAAAATAACTTACCAAAATAGTCCCGTTATTGAGGTGTAACTTGAGCTCCGTAAGTTCAGAATTAAAAGCGAAACCCAAAGGATAGGCCGAGTGCGAAAAGCTCCTGAAGTTGGAATACATCCATCCAAAGTTCAAAAGGTATCCTCCCCGTTTCTCGCATATGTTTTTAGCTTGTTTCCATGTTGCTCTGACAGCTGCTTCACCTACAGCCGGTACCTCCGCCAAACACGTAGGCATCGGACTATAGAATCTATAGCCATTATCGAAACCCGCACAAGGTTGACTCTTTAAAGCCTTTTCGTCTTCATAGGGATAAACCAAGCAATACCTGTGATGCATTGCTTCACAACTGACTGCCGTGAAACTGGTGATTGAGTCTATCACCACGCACAGATCCTGGTTCAGAAGTGATTCATTTTGTTGAACTTTCTCACGTAGCAGTCTTCCAGTTGTCTCTGTATAAGACCAGTCCACGAATCGCCCCCCAGGATATGCGTTTTTGTACTGCGTCCACAAAGCATATTCGTGCTCTGGTATTTTTAAATTGTTATAGCGTTCGACTGTGTATAGATTCCCGGTGCAGTTTTTGTATATATCAGAGAATCTTTCTGGGCCCTTGATGCGGTAACACAGTCCGCGGTTGCCTGACTTGTATTCTGCGAATTGGAATCCAATAGGGCATGTTGTTTTAGCGGTCGACGCAATCGTCCAAATGAGAACAATAAATACGATTCGTTGATATAAATCGATCATCTGAAATATTTATACAATAATAAAATATGAATTAGGAAATTCGCATTATGACGGAAATGAAGAGTTTTCTTTTTTTCTTTGATAACTTTGGAATTTGTTATTCTCACGTGTGTGTTTGGTGTGAGGCGATGACATATTGATTGGTAACCAAAAAAACACGGGATGCTACTGTGTTCAAAAGTGATAGAATTCAAAAGAAAGAAGAGAATCGCATAACTAATAATAAGAAAGTACGAATTAAAGTAATAATCTCTTTTTACATTAAAGAATGATTTCACACTAATATTATCAATGCTCTCTGGCAGTGACGATTTCTAGTAAATGGTCTCGGAATCAACTCGAATATGTTAGACATGTTAAGTGATTAAAATTTCGGATTTTCTATAAATCTGTTATTTCATTGCATTTTTTATTTCAAACCTAGTATCTGATATTTGGGTGTCCCAGTCTAAAGATGAGGGCAATACTTCACGCGAGGCCGGACTTGTGAACTGTTAAGCAAAGTTATTTGTCCAGACTAAAAGTACCGCTTCGATATGTTGAGGACTCCCAGGATTTTTTTTGAAGCCAATTTGATTTTCCCTCCAAATGACTTCGATATTGAAAATCGCCCGTAACGTCGATCCCAAGAATCCGGGATAAAATACTATCGAAAGTTTTCAGGGAAACTCCTTGGAATTACGGCACTACGACGAATGGATCTTCTTTGCAGTGAACGCGCAAAAATAGCCAAAACATATACATGATTATTGGCGGATTTCGATCACGGATCGAACACCACTTCTAGAAACTATATATTAATACGTGAATAAAAAACTTTGTGCCCCTTTTTATGAAAATTGCGTGGACGGAGGTGTATGAAATTTCTTACACTTATAGAGAATATAGAGAAGGAGTGCAGAATACTATTTTTTTTTTAATTATACTTAAAAAATACATTAAATCAATAAAAAAACTATGCATTTGACACACACACATACTCTTTTGTTTATTGTAAAAGTCTGTCAAATTCGGAATATATTGATATTGTTTGTCTTCAATATTATTTATCTATAGTTGTAGCCTTGGTGAAATTTGTTATTATAGAGGTCTATTATATTCTTTGACAATAGACCCTTAATAATGTTCTAACTTATAATTTAAATGAATTATAGTCGAATTTAGACTACTGGGCGACCACTAGTTATTAGTAAATCATTAATTATTTGCACGTGAGCAATCGACACACTCCCTGCGTCCAACAAATAATACAATTTTATCAGCTTGTGTTCTTAGAGAAACGCCTGAATCGCTAAATCATCGAGGAGGATCATTTCTAGATAACGACATGTAATTAACATGTAATTTAACAAAATGTTAATTGCGTGTTTACGACATACGTCGCGGCCTTTTAAATCGTGGTGGCCTAAAGGATAAGACGTCCGGTGCATTCGTTGTTGCGATGCATCGGTGTTCGAATCCCGCAGGTGGGTACCAATTTTTCTAATGAAATACGTACCTACTTAACAAATGTTCACGCTTGACTTCCACGGTGAAGGAATAACATCGTGCAATAAAAATCAAACCCGCAAAATTTTAATTTGCGTAATTACTGGTGGTAGGACCACTTGTGAGTCCGCACGGGTAGGTACCACCGCCCTGCCTATTTCTGCCGTGAAGCAGTAATGCGTTTCGGTTTGAAGGGTGGGGTAGCCGTTGTAACTATACTGAGACCTTAGAACTTATATCTCAATAGTGGACTCTCATAGTGGACTTCATTTAAATTCGTCGGAACCTCCACAATAAACAAGTAAACAATAGTTTGACAGGCTACGTAACAAAACAAGTCGTCCTGTGATCCACCGCTGTTATCTTATCAGCGTTAATATGAACACTGATAAGAGGATTGTTCATTTAACACTATTAACGATATTCAGAAATTATCAAATATGATTACGAAACGTAATGAGTTTTCCCTGAAAAATCACCTGATTTTGGAATTGACATTTGGCGACGCCCTCGTTGGGGCATCGCGACCTTTCCACTTAAATATATCTCTTTGTAAATCAATTTGTATAATAAATAAATAACACTTCAAACATTCATTGATTTGCCGTTCAGAAAAAGGAGTCAACTTAACCACAAGTTTTTTGTTTGTTTTTGAAGTGGACATGAAGCTGAGCAACATCATGAAATCATTTGAAAGCCTTTGTTCTTTAAAATTGTATCAATTAACATTTCGATAAACCTAGAGCATTCTAAATTACTTCTTTATTATTTTTGTATAAACCAATATATATTGGTTATATATTTTGTATTTTTGTATAAGAATACAGTCAAAACCGTTTACTACGACATCGTTTAATACAACATGCCGGTTATAATAACCAAGAACAAAGGTCCCGGCTGAATGCCATATGACCGCCTTATCCATTCCGATTTGAGCAACCGACGCGCGTGGACGTGCTCATTGTTCGTTCGATTGCCCGACCTCGGTTCGTGGCACATCTGGCGTCCAAGTGTTTTGTCGGAAGTGACTACCGGTGATAATAGATCATTGTTCGTGGCACATCTGTGGCCCAAGTGTTTCTCGGAATTTGTACCTGCGCCTAATTGCAAGGCATTGCCGNCTTAGGGACCCCGGTAACCGTACTCGTCGAACTCGACAAAGAGGTCGACGTGCAACCTAACCCATGCATCAGCCCGCTGAGTTTCTCGCCGGATCTTCTCAGCGGGTCGCGATTCCGATCCGGTAGTAGATTCATTCGCGAAACAATTGCTCTTGAGTTGTTAGGTCTCCTTCGGAGGCGCTCGGGCAGTTGTGAGCAAATCCCGCCCCTCTTGGCTGAGCCTTTGCTCGCCCACCTGTCCTGGTGAAACTGGAAAAGCCTTCGGGCCAACAGTAAACTTTCGATCATAAAAAAAAAAAAATAGACCGCCTTATTAAAAATATTGCTTTCTACGACATTGGTAATAACGACATACCTCATAAAACGACCACATTTAACTAATATTTCGGAGAATTCGATCTGTTAGAACGACCGGCTAAGCTGTGTTGTAAACAATTTGAATAGGTATCCACATTTGTCTTCAATGGCTTTTAAAATCAGGAAAGAAAACAATAGGATTTAGTTTAGTGTAGGGTCTTTTCTAATTGTTAGAAACAAAACACGTGCATGCGGTAGTCAAAGCCCGCTTCTTCATATCTCTTCAGTTAGTTTGTTACTTATCTATACACAAGACGTACCAAAACTTTGTGGAGTTATTCGTGAAACTTTCAAAATGTCGCAAAGAAAAAGAAAACAAATTAATATTGAAGAAAAATCGCGTATTATGTAAATATATTTTTCCAATAATTCCCTATCGATTTGTTTGTACTTGCAAGATACACATTAAACATCACCGGTTGTTACGACTATCGGTTTTTACGACTGAATATGAGCAGTCCTTTCGATGTCGTTATAACAGATTTTGACTGTACATCAATTTCGGAATGAAATTTTTTTTGCAAATTCAGTAATTGCGACAACACCAAGACAGGACAAAACCGAGACAGAGGCGATGTAGTAGATTATCAATGAGCTACATGTCATCCAAAATAACTGAATGGTACGAAATGCAAATCGTAATTTTCGCAAATCAATAATAATTTAGACTATCCGAAACATGGTAAGTTTCCATTTAGTTCATAGTAAATAGCAGGTATATTTTAGGTTCAGCAATTGTTACTTCATTATTAATGTGAGTGAGATCATTAAAACAAATTTAATACAGAATTTATTTCCGTTCTTCCAGATAATTTTCAATCGATGCTATTGTATTAATGTCATTTTCAAATTAGATAGATAGCGTTCGAACCGACTGTTATTATATGTCGTTACGGTAGTTGATACAGTCTTAGATGTAACTCAGAGCCATTACCATCTTGAAACTTTGCATCGCATTAAACATATTACAGAAATAGGCAGGCACGCAGGAGTAGGCTCTGTCCACCTATTTGTGTCGCGAAACTTTCATGCTTATCAGCTATAAAGGGAGAGCCACAATAAAAGTGAGATTTTGAACTTTTCGCGCGTTCTTGTTCCTTCAGCATGGAAACCGTTCGTGGCCCTTTTTAAGTAAGAGTCTTCTTTTGTAAAATTGGCCCGAAAATTTTGATATTGGTAGCGAGATTCGAACACTCACCCGCATAGTCTCCTCTATCGAATACACTAGACGTATTTTAGGCCACAAAAAAACCCACATAGAAGATGTCTAAGGAGCCAAGATTTTTCTTCCCACCGCAAGCCGCGTTACGAACATCGTTCCAGATAACGAAATTCGCACCAAAAAATTACGGCAAATTTAGTTTTGTTCATTCACGCCCATAAACTTATCTTAAAAAATAAATTTAATTAACATCTATTCCGTTAAAAATAGTTTCTCACCTTTAAAGTCACTGACTGAAGCATCAAGGTCTCCGGAGCGAAGGGCAGAAATAACTTAATCAAGCGAAACGTGCGGGGTAAAACATCTTCCGCGATACCCTATCATGTTAGCTAAGCCCTCAGTACTTCGCTTTCAAAGTCCTTGATACGCTGTGTGTCCTATATACACCTGAAATGATAAATTGGTGACTGAAATGATGAATATCTTATACTTTTTGTATTCACTGCGTCTACAATTACATTCGCTTGATCGTAGTGGAATTTTCCTGATTGAGCCATTGCTCGCCAACCTGTTCTGGTGAAACTAAAAAGGCCTCCATATCAAAAGTAAGTCTTCATTCCAAAAAAAAGCGGAGTTTCACGCGACGCTGAAATGGCTTCGTCGTTAAATTTTACACTAATCGTGTGTTTAATAATCTACTAGTGGTAGGACCTCTTGTGAGTCCGCACGGGTGGGTACCACCGCCCTGCGTATTTCTGCCGCGAAGCAGTAATGCGTTTCGGTTTGAAGGGTGGGGTAGCCGTTGTAACTATACTGAGACCTTACAGCTTATATCTCGAGGTGGGTGGCGCATTTACGTTGTAGATGTCCATGGGCTCCAGTACCCACTTAACACCAGGTGGGCTGTAAGCTCGTCTACCATCAAAGCAATAAAAAAAAATGTTGCGATGACAAAAAAATATATTTTATGTGATTAAAGTGAATATGAAAATTTTCAGTGGCGTAATGACGTGTTTTATCAGACAAGTCACATTTCGCGCCGCATGATTCACTATAATAAAAATGAATGAATTCGAGCCTTCTGCAAATACTTATTTCCGCGTGACGTCACTTATTAGGTGGTTTCGAGAAATAAATTTCCTATACAATACACAATAGAACAGTAAATTACAGTGCAGTGCAGATCTAGTCAAAAGGTCGTAAGTACTGAAGATGCGTAATTTATTTTCTTATAACATACGAAATAACTGTATCCCTTCTAGTTAAGCCGTTATGGCTTTGGCGTGTTCGATTTATACTATATCCAATATAGATTTTATTTGTGGTCAGTATAATAAGAAGCTCGTAAAAAGACGTATTATCAAATACACCAATAGCGTTTTGATACCAAGTACTCTCATTACGCAACGCATGTATACGCAAATCATTAGTAGATGAAGAAATACATCGTGTAACAAAGAGAACACTCGTAAAAATCGCAAATTATCATAATTAATATGGTTTTTGCTGTGCGTAATTTTTTTTTTATTATTTACTTATTTCATTTACTTCAGATTTTGCATCCATAGTACATTCATTAACAATAACATCTCACATAGAATATCAAAATTAAATAAGAACAATAAATTAAAAGTAATAATTCGTGACAGTTTTAATTTTTTTTTTTTNGACAGTTTTATTTTTTTTTTTTTCCACAGGAGAAAATCGCCGGATCCCCACCCGCGCGGCAGGTGGGGTATGTGGGAGTTGAACCTCACTAAAAACTCCTGCCGCTCACAACCGGGCCTCGTACCGGGCCGGAGCCCAGTCGGGGCTATTGAAACGGCGGGACAGGGTTGACGCAGAGCACATTACATCCATCCCACGACAGTTTTACTTAATGAAAATTAGTTAATTTTGTGAGTTAAAATTGTGTTATAGTTTTAATCATTAGTAAATTATTGTAATATATTGATAACGACTTTTTTATTCGACTTAATGGTAATTCTAACTGGGGGCGGGTAACACCGGGTGAAGTTAAGTTTTTCATGGCGGCCAATGTCAGTGATGGCGGTCATTCACACGCCCATCGACTCTAAATCACTAATTATTGTTGTAAAAACGATGAAACACGTACTCAACAAATGTTCACGATTGACTTCCACGGTGAAGGAATAATATCGTGTAATAAAAATCAAACCAGCAAAATTATAATTTGCGTAATTACTGGTGGTAGGACCTCTTGTGAGCCCGCACGGGTAGGTACCAACACCCTGCCTATTTCTGCCGTGAAGCAGCAATGCGTTTCGGTTTGAAGGGTGCGGCAGCCGTTGTAACTATACTGAGACCTTAGAACTTATATCTCAGGGTGGATGGCGCATGTACGTTGTAGATGTTTATGGGTTCCCGTAACCACTTAACACCAGGTGGACTGTGAGCTCGTCCACTCATCTAAGCAAAAAAAATCAGGCTACCAACGAATAGGTAGGGGAAAAAGAAGTCGATAATCCCGACCTCACAGACCGTTGCGACATTCATTAAGATGGTTCGTCATTATATATTTTTTCGATGCATCGGTCCACTCAGTTCGGTCACAATTCATTTACCGTAATATAATCTCTTCGAACCGAAAAATAAAGTAACATGTGATCTAGATTTAAAGTGAGCTGAACTCTTCGATGCTCCAAAAAGCCATGATAAAACATCTCTTATCGAACACAGTATTCGAAAACAATCTCTACTGTTAAGACACTATCTTTCAACGTGTGAATTTTTTTTAATATATATCATCTGTTATATATTTCCATACATACGTTTTTATTAGATGTATCTTTGTACTTTTAAAGATTAAATACGCATGCTGTATCGACGTATGTAACTAAAAATGCGAGTCTTCAAGGGAAGGCAATTCTCCTAGTCGAGGTAATCAATCCTTAATTATTATAAGCGGCATTGAAAAAAGTTCACATTTAAAACCGGTAGTGAAGTAAATACTTATTTAAATATTGTTTCGACTTTAAATGTGTTTGGGACTAAGAAAAGGATAACCTTATTATCTCAATCTGTAGTTCGTTGAGACACTTTTTGAATTTCTTCACTTCCGAGAGTTTCACATGCTGATTGATCAATAGTACACAGGCTTCGCGTCGTTTTGCACACGCGTAGTTTTTTTTTTGGAGCGTCAACAGATGACGTGGATGATGGATTGAGAAAGGAATAAGGAAAAGAAAGTCCCAACATTTCGCCCCACTTGAAATCATTGGAAGATTTCAAAAGATTTGAATATGATAATAAGCTGTGGCAATCTAAGGAACCTAATGAAATAGAAATAGAGATAATATAATAAAAATAAGTAGAGTTTAAGATAAAAAAGAATTATGTGAATAAATAAACTATTATACAATTAAATTATGACGACGCTTGCAGCTGAAAGTAAGTATTGTACTTTTTGACGAAGCATGTTGCTGATAACTTTATTTCTGTAATCTGACGAAGCATGTTGCGGATAATAACATGTACTTTTAGGTTAGGAATATTCTGTTCTTTTTTTTTTAATAATAATAAATTAATTTATTAAATTAGATAATAGTACAAAGTCAATGATAACAGTTATTAGTTCTCGTGAATTGGCAAAGGACATAACTTTGTTACTGGTCGGCGCAGCAGAGCGTGAGCTAATAGACAGTGACGACCCGTACCACGCCATCGCAATTAATAGTCGTGAATTGAGAATCGCTCCGATTTTGGTAAGAATTATTAACTCATTTGCCACGAGAAAAATACTTCACAAGTAACATACTTCTTAAATTTCAAAATAAATAAATTAAAGAAGACAGTGTTCGCTGTGTCAAAACTAAATACAGCCCGCAATATAAACTACAAAAAAATTTTAATTCGAAAAAAGTAAATGAAACGATGGAAGAAAACAATTTTATTGAGCAGATAGATTTTATTGGGTCAATATTTTTTTTCATTTCACTCTTGTAATAATGTAACTTGTTACCTAATAACATTTTTAAATTTTCATTTATCACTCACTCATAAAACTTGGCAATTATATAGACTTTTTCCGACAAAACAAAACACGATAAAACTTAGTATTTCTAGTAATATGTAGTTTCCTTCAAGAATAATATTCGCATACCAGTTTCTTTAGATTTTCCCAAGTCCATTACCGCAAAATCAATATAAGTTTATATAATACTAGCTTTACTCGTCCGCTTCGGTGGGCATTTAAAATTAACATTATTTCTCACCCCTACAAAGATTCTCATCATTAACGCCCCCGCAACGGGTGTAGGGAGTCCAACAGTCATATAAATATTAGCCTATCTATTAGTACATGTTTTTCCTACATGGATACCAAGTTTCAAGTCAATCGGATGCATGGTCCAGTAGTTATATCAGAAAATCCGTAAAAACCACTGTAGATATATATATCTACAGTGGTGGTATACCACTGTAGATATTAGTATAGATTACACATTGCGCAGTCCATTTTGAGAAAACTCACACAATACTCGACATCAGTCTTTAAAGTCGAACGTACATGTAGCGGCAGCTATTTGTATATTCGACTTTCTTGTAATGTACTAAGAATCGAAGCTATTTGACCAAAACCTAAATCGCGCTAGCCACATTCAAAAAATAAACTTACAAATTCCGATCCTTGATCTACCTAATAGTCCAATACACCCAACCCACTGAGGTTCTCGCTTTTCAGTGGGTCTCGATTCCGATCTGGTGGTAGGCTCAGCGAAGCACTGCTATTGCTAGGGCTAATGTTAGCAAACTCTTTTAGGTTGAGACCGTGAACTCGCCTACCGGTGCGTGAGTAGCTGGAATAGCTCCTTAGGTTACCAGCGATTCTTCTTATCAGCCCACAGACGTCCACTGCTGGACATAGGCCTCCCCTAAGCCTCGCCACAAAGACCGGCCCTGCACTGCCTGCATCCAGCGGATCCCCGCGAACCTCAATAGATCGTCGGTCCATCTTGTGGAAGGCCTACCCACGCTACGTCTTCCGGTTAGCGGTCGCCACTCAAGAACTTTCTGGCCACAACGGCCATCCGATTAGGTAGGGAATAAAAATAATTAACCTAATAACATAACCGTTCGGTAGAAAAGCGTCTTTTAAAGTTCCCCCCACAGATATTGGATGTACGCGATCTCAACTTTCAAAACAAACCTTCCTACCTAGTATACTGCTAATGCCGGTTCCAAGCCCGGATAAGAAAAGAGGAGGGTTGAGTTGAAATTCGACCTTTCCACCGTAAAATAGTCAATGCCGAATGTCTGGCGGCACTTAATTAGCCGGACCCAAATAAGGCTTCAGCGACTTCGAAGAACTAAATCTCTTCCAAAAGCACTGCCGTGAAAGGACACGGGATCCCACCATCTTTATTTTCCCAAGAAAGTCTGATGAGGCCACGACCCTCGGCATTGAAGACTATCGACACAAG